AGATAAGAAATTATATTATTAAAATTAAAATTTACAAAATATTTTGTCACGCATTTAATTTTTAACGGTTATAAAATTTTTAAAATCGTTCCGCAATTTTCTGCCCGCAATAACATAAACCTGGAATGTTATTTTTGTAATTTTTTCATCTGGAATAATATATTCTTCTCCTTAGAACAGCTTAAATTGAAAACAAAGGCATATCAATGTGTGATGCTTCAAAGCAAAATATTTTTGATGTAGAAATGAGCAAAGGTCAGAGATCTTTAAATATAAAGTTTATTTAATCAAAATTTCAGTCCTCTCGCAACTTTTTCATATTCAGTTGTTAGCCAAACTTTAAGTCGCAACAACATGAAATTAAAAATTTTCTTTTTCGTGATATTTTTTGTCACAGTTGAATCAATAAAGTTGCCATCATATTTTCCGTCTACCATACGTTATGTGGGTGGTTTCAGTAAGTAATATAAAACTTTTCATTAAATAAATCAGAACATCAAGCTGTGCCTAATTTCTTTATTAGCGTTCATCAATCAGATTGGATACATGCGATTTTGACTTGCAAAATGTTTGGAATGAAACTTTACCCTCCTGACTCTGATGACGAACTTGAAATGTTTAAAGAAATGGTAAGTCAGAGCGAAAACCGTCAAAATAGTATTTATCTTGGAGTGACAACGAGAGGTAGAGATTACTGGTATACAGTTGATGGCAAAATACTTCTCAATAGCATCAAGTTCTATGGTAATTCATGTTTGAGTTTGATAAGTGATGACGGATCCAAATCATTTTATTATCAGGAAAAGCAGTGTCAGGAAGAAAACTTTTTCATTTGCTATAATGACAATGTGACTGTTAAATGAAACAAAACAATTTCACACTCTTAATTTCATTTTAAAAATATTTTAATTTCAATTACTGATCAAAAATTATTTCTTGTGTAATCGTTAATAAAATGTAATAATTTCAGCTCTCAAATCGAAGTCAAAGGTTAACAAAATCACTCGAAACAAAAATTATTTTAGGTTTTTATTTAGGCAGTAAGTGAATTGCGTCTGAAAGGAAAAGACCGGTATGAAGTTGATTAGATTCATTATTTTCTTCTCGTTTTTTGCATTTGTGAGAAGTTCAAATGTGTCCAGAAATTTACCATACTACATGGAATATTATGGAAATTACGCTACAAGTGAGTGACAAAGATTTAAATCAATCAATTATTAATTTAACTATTAACATGAGTAGAGATAAACTCTTCGGAAACTGAAAGATATGCGGTCAAACATTATTTTATCTCACGTCGATTAGAAATTACGTGGATGATGTCGAACTTTTGTTGCAATGCTTTTGGAATGCAACTAACCAGTTTCGAAGACCTTGATGAATTAAATTACTTCGTTAAAAATACTGCTGGCAAAAATTTGGAACTTTTGGATGATTGCGTGTTTTTACAATTTGAAAAAGTTGCTGATAACAGTTCAGAGATAAGATGCCCATCGTTCTGTCGACCAATAAAAATGGAAGCTGATTTTAAATACGATGACTGTGTTGCGTCACAAGACCGTGGATTTATGTGGATTTATGTGTGAATATAAGGAGGAATTAGATGCTTCAGAAGCACTTGAATATTTACCTGGAAAGACAAAGGCTAAGACAACATTTCTTAATTATCTTGGAGTTAATTTAGAAACAGCAAAAAAGTATTACTTGAGTCATAATACTCATTATTTGGAACTACATACAGCTCAAACACTTTGCCTTATCTTTAACCTGACCTTAGCGAGAACTGAAACTGAAAAGGAAATGAACGCGATTAAAAATCTTCTCAAACTAATCTTCCTTTCTCAAAAATACATGTTAGCAAGCAATGACAGAATTTATCGAAGGGATGATCCAAAGGAAGATCCAACAAAAGAACGTTGTCGACGTAACTTCAATTTTTTCTTGATAACATTATAAAGTTTGAGAATGTTTTCAAATTGCAGGCATTTCAAAAGAAGGAGAAAATTCTATTTATTTTCAACAAGGAGATTGTTATGAAAGATTAAATGGATTTATTTGTGAATTTGATCCATCTAACGATTTGACATTTCATCTATTGAAACTAATCATGAAGAGTTTGATTCGCTTTTCATCCATCTGACAAATTACAGTAAATATAAAATTGGAACATTCTTACTTTATTTAATCTTTGATTGATTTAATCTTACTAAAAATTGAATATTTTTTACCAATCAGCGTCCGCAGGTGAAACAAAACAATTATTCATGAGCACAGCACAAATGAAATGGAATTACGCAGTTCTAGCTTGTAAAATGCACGACATGAAGATTTTGATGTCTGAATCTAGAGAAGAAGAAAGTGCAATGAGAGAAGCTTTGAAGGACATCGATAAGAAAGTTAATCTGACAGAATATATAACACAATCTGAAATGGGAGCATTTAAGATTATGCCATCTTTTTATATTGGTGCAACATCAATAGGAAAGAAATATTTTTATTCGATCAATACTGGAGAAATGTTGGATTTTCCATGGGAATCTAAAACCTTCAAGGAAAATTCTGGTCAGTACACTCCCCACTATGATGATGCTGATGATGAAGAAAAATCTTGTCTTATTGGTGAAATGTTCAAAAACAGATTAAAATACAAGCCTACGAATTGCTTTCAAAATAAATTCCATGTTGTTTGTGAAAAATCGAATTAATCACGAATTTGTCTCAGTCACACTTTCGTCAAAGCTCAAATAATTCACAGACACAAGAAGAAAAATCTTCGTTTCGAAATTCCATATGTTATCAATATTTCAGATTATAAATTGAGTTTGAAAAAGATTGCAAAAAGAGAAGACAAAATGACACAATAAATATGAAAATGATAACCCAATTTTGGTGTTTTTCGTTTCATCTCAAAACTTATCAGACGCTCATCCATCGCTACGTACATGAATATTTCATGTCTTGATGCCTACTATCCTTATCACAGCAGTTGACTTGTGTTGTGGATGTGAGTTTCGTGAAGCGTAAAAATAAAATTGTAACGAAAAATATATGAGAATGAAGCGTCACTCAGATGGGACAGAAAAAAACCTTCAGACGAGAATAAAGCGAGAATAAAAAGTTTATAAAAGCAGCAAATCATCCGCTAGAATGAACAGTCAAAACGGTGGTCTGTTATTGAGTGGGTGTGAGTCAGAACTTTGCATTCATCTCCATTGGGCGGAAGAAGAAGACATTCACAGCTGGAAAAATGACTTCAGCGGCTCTGTAATTTTCGCATTAATTTTAATTTCATTTTAGTCGTGATTTGTTTTCTTTTTTGTAATGTAGATCCTTCGGCTTTCTTCTATTTGTCTTCCTGACCGAAGCGTGCATAGCATTGCCAAGCTGTAAGGCTGAAAAAGCTATTAATCACATGAGGAAAATTAAGGATGTCGACTCCTACATCTATAACGATACGCATTTGTTAAACATAAATAACAAAGGCATCAAGGTGCTGACACAATAGTGAGATCATTTATTTTAAGTGACGCATGCGTGATTGATTGGTGATAAGATCCTCCAATGATCCATGAATGCTAATTAAAATTATTTTGATTAATGTGAAAGTTTGCGCTTGAAATGTCACTTTTGTCATTTGATTTAGGATTTTTTTTCGATGCTGTTGAGAAACGTTCATGAAAAAGGAAGAGACGTAGACACTTCCGTTTGATTTACATAAATTCTTATTTCTCTCTTCTCAGACCCTCAACAAAGACGTTTTTGCTTACTACGCAAATATAAACCGAAATCAAATCGAGTTTATTTATCTCATGTACAACAATATCAATGATTTCGAGTCAGGAGCATTTGAAGATTTCACAAACGTTCGTAATATAAATTTTGGTGTCAATTTACTGGAAACAATCAAGCGAAACTTCTTTCGTGGCACAAAGAAAATTGATTTCTTAAATTTTCAATCCAATCTGATTCACTCAATCGAAGCAGGGTCGTTTGATGAGCTGACTCAGTTGGAATATGTCTATCTAGATGACAATTGTCTAACTCACATTCCAGATCATTTGTTTCATCACACGGTCCGCATACGAAATATATTTCTTCAACAGAATCGTTTGATTCACGTGTCTAGTACGTTTATGCGCCCATCACAAAAGCTTTTTGGATTGAACATTGCTGAGAATCGCTTATCCGACATTTCAAATTTGTTTCGTTTCAAAGGTCTGATGAGTTTGATTGCGTCCAACAACAAATTGAATCCAATCAACAGTGATGGGATAAGTGAAAGTGAAATGATATCGTTGAACATTAACAACACGACGATTTCGGAAATTGATTTTGTACAAAATTTCGGCAAATTACGTGAGCTTTACGCAGCAAACAATCAGATAAGATCATTTGACGTTGAGACATTTACCAGAAACAGTGAATTAGCGTATGTTTCATTGCAATCAAATCCACTTGAAGAAGTTAGTATTGAAAGAGTCAAAGAATTCTTTCCAAATCTTTCAGTTCTTGACATCTCAAATAGTCCAATGGAAAGCAATTGTCATAAAATCATTGACTTATATAAAGATGCCAAAGAGAACTCCATAAATCTCAACATAAACACAAATCATTTAACTAACTGCTTAGAGAATTTTTAAAATAAAATTAATGTAGCTTTCTTTTTTATATAAAATCATTTCATTGAATTGACTTTGTAGAAAAGTTTTCACTTTTTATTCAACGTTGTTTCAATACTCATAACTATCCTCTTAAGAAGAAGCATTCAAAGCTAAGAAGTGCTTCCTTTGTAACACTCTAATGCAATAATAAATTGCCATTAAAACATAAAAGAAACGACACAAATTTATTGCCATCAAACGTTATATTGTATGTATGTCGTGTCTATTAACTCTCCATCTCCCTCTTGTTACGTCTTCACTGTTAGCCTTATAAAGCTGCCTTCATTTTTCATCAAACCCCTAAAAGTTACATCCACGAAATTCCATTCATGAAATTGTTTTGAAAAGGTAGCGATATAAAGTGTGGGAGGGTTTTTTTATAGTCGAGAAGGGCAAAGACTTAGAAAGAAGTTTTTATTGTAACGATGTGTGAGAAATGTTCAGATCGTTCATCCAAGTTTGCTTTTATCGCTTGCGGTTGATCATCGTCGTCTGCAACGTGATATACAATTTTCCAAAAGCACATTCTTATTTATATACGTGCTGATATGGAATGTAACAAGCAACCGCATGTAACATTGCATAATCGTCGGTAAATGATGCATAACAGAAAATTTATCGTTTCTGATACTCATGCATGTAAGTATAAGGAAAGAACTTTCAGATGTCGTTTATGTCTTCTTATTCTTCCGACTTTTATTGTTTTAAGGTGAAGTTAATATCTGTAAAAAGTTTTCAATGTTAAAACGTGCGACATCTAAAAGGTATGAATAAAGATAAAAGCTTTCCTTGTAAATGCAGTTTTTTTTATCCTTTTACAGGATATTTATAGCGTTGTAAATCAGAATTGTGGTGTGGATTTGTGTTCAGGTCGTTAGGAAACAATCGAGGTGAAAACCTCTCAAGAGACGACGCTGGAATAAAAGCATTTAACTGAAAGATTTTTATGTTTCTTTTTGTGATTGTATTCGTATATGTTTAAAAGCTCTTAAAACCTTCAATGCTTGCCTTTTAGAAAAAGTTATAAAGAACATATGGAGCCTTCATTGTTAACAGCTTTGTGGATGGGAATAGCAACTCTTTTGATGAAACTCCTTGCCTTTTTTATTCCATAAAGACTCTTAATGATTGTTTATTATGGAAATTAGAAGAAATGGAAACGAATGTCTTTTCATGCTCATTTCAGAATATTTCCTTTGATGAGGTTTCCATTTGGAATGTCAGATATTCTTCTCTTTGAAGAATTCCTTCAAATTAAATTCTTTAAAACTTTCTTGTGTTTGAGTGGAATTGCATTCGTCTTTGCTCATAAATTCTAACCGAAAATAACAAATGTAACTCTGTGATTCGTTATGCTTTCTCATAACATTTTCCCAACATTGTAAAAACTTTAGTCTTTAACTGGTGGTGGAGGTGCTCGTAATTTAGCGTCATAGAAAGTTTTTCTCATTTACAAACTTTTTATGAGTTTTTTTTTCCCTTTTCCTCCGAAATTCCCATACATGATGCATGGTGATGATTCTGGCGAGAACTTTTTTCAAAGGAAACAGGATGGGATAGAAAATATCTTTTATTTTTACTCTTTCCCCATGTCTTTTTCAGTTTCTCGTCTTGATATTATAACTTTTTTTGTTTGAAAGTCACCCAATTGTGTATATTGCGAGTCATCTTTTTCTTCTATTTTTTTTGTTCTCATCATCTTCATTGAAATATTTTCGACGATGAAAATATGTAATAAAATTATGAAAGAAAAGCCTGGGATCAGTCTCTCGACATCTTCTTTCCTTTCTGTTTTGAATCATAAAAGATAGAACAGAACGGGAAATCGTTATCAAACAGGCTGTTGTTTCTTTTTCTATTTTTTTTTTCAATCTTGATTCGTAATGATTGAAAGTTATGTGCACGATGGGAATAATAACTCAATTAAAATGTGAAGAAGATAAAAAATATTCGAATTTAGAATTGCGGAAAATGATAGACGTCCAATTGTCTGGCTTACTCTTTTTATCTGTTTCATGTTAACAAAATTTCTTCTTCGTGCTGAAACGTTTTCATTTTATTATCCATGCCATTAATAATCTGAATGAACTTGTTAGCTGGAATAATTATGTGAAGGCACTTATTACAAATAATAATAAAATTTCCATTCATTTAGCGGCATTTTCATTTTATATTTTCCTTTCGGGAAAATAAAGGAATTCCTGAACATAAAATCATTAAGGAAAATTTTCTTTTTCTTTTCCTTTTTGATTTTCTTTTTCGTTCCTCATTCGACTTTCAAATGCCGACAACCCCTCAAAGAATTCAGGTTTTCTGATGTCGTCTTAAGCTAACTAACTACACACAAAGAAAAGATGTATAAGATAAACTTACTTCAATGAGAGTGTGTTAGTGTGCGATGTTTTTTTCCTTTCTGGCTCCCCTTCTTGAGTAGCAAGACTGATGTTTAATTTACATTAAGGATACTCTCATCATCCGTTCATTTCCTCGACACTGGCAACACAACAACAAATTCCGATTCAGCACATGAGCATAAATCACTCACCGACAAAAAGGTGATTTTTTCTTTATTAAAACACACACGGAAAATATTTACAAGCTTGAGACGAAGAAATTTCCGGAGAAAAATTTATTAAGTTTTTCATGTGACACGAAAGTAATTTTCCTGTTGTCGCTAATTGAAAAACTTTTTTCAGCGTCTGTTTTGTATCTTTCAGCTTCGCGAACAATTAATTGATGTTCATTGCATCATCTTCTCAGACGAAAATGTCTGAATTTTTATTAGAGGAATTTCCTTGAATTTTCATACACTTCCTGACCACTTTTCACTTACATCCGGTCTTAAAAACAAAGAAAAAGAAGAAACACTTTCTTATGTACACATTTGGGCTCTCACATCACCCAATACAACCAGCTTCCGGGTTTATCCTTTCAAACTCACGAACCTCCAAACTCAAACTAAAAAGTATGTGGAAAAATTTTACGCTTCAATGTCGGTTTTTCCATAAAAGTTGTGAGTATGCGCAGTACAATTGTTGTTGGTATTTTCATTTTGGAGATTGCAGCAGGGTTTAAAAATGTTACACAATTCCAATTTTAAGACTTTTCACCCCTCAGTACTGTTCTGAGGAAAAATTTTCTCTTAGTTTGCTTGGGGAGAAAAGAGAGACGAAACAACAACACGCAAAATACTTTCCACAACACATTGTTTGTTTTAATTATGTAATTTCTCTATCATTATGTTGAAACATTCTCATAATCGCGTTCAAGATCTGAGCACGTAAGCCTATGAGTTAACTTCATTGGTTTATTATATGTAAGTAGTGAAAAGGATGTAAAAGTTTTATGACGGAAATAGTCGTACCGAATAAACTTCTTTGTCGAATAGTTCATTGTAATTGACATTTATTTTGTAATGAATTCCACAACTTGTGGTTTATATAATTATGTAAGACGACTTTATCACCCTCAACAAAGTAGAATTAATTTTTTTGTGAAGTATTTTCTGAAGAAATGGAATGCCTCGAACTAATAAAAAAGATCTAAGGTTTTCGAATGTTTTTCTAGAGAGAAACTTGGGGCAGACGGTTCTCTTTAATTAGAATAAATGTGATTACCTGTTGGTGATGCTGACATTCAACAATTAAAAAGAAAATAAATCTCAATCCTTAAGAGGTGAGAGATATGTTTTTGATGCAACGAAGTTTCTATTTGGATGATAATTATAAGTTAGTTATCATTTCACTCTATAAATGGTATTTAATCTCTTTATAATTAGCTATAGGAAATATTATTTAAAGTGCACAAGAGGAAATTTTCGTCTTTACATGTTTTAAAATTTTTTGAATAATTTATCAAATTACAACGTTTCGTTGAGCGAGAAATATGTATACCTAACTGAATCATTTAAATTAAATGAGAAAATAGTAAAGACATCAAAAGAAACATAAATTAACGGTTAATTTAAATTTAAATCTTAAAGGGGCCTTCAACTTTATTCACAAGTCTGCGTAATCCCAAACAAACCACTTTCTTCTTCGAGTTTCTTTTTCACAGAAGAACATTCATCAATAAACATGGGTAAAGTTCTTAGTATTGCTGTCGGCAAAGCTAAAAGATTTAATGTGGAAAACAGAGCACAACGGGTCATTTCTCAGGAAAAGCCAACACCGGCTCCAAAATATGATGCAAACGTAAAAGATCTTCAAAGAATATTGGAACGTAAACACGCTGATATTTTAAAATTTGTTTGAAATGAAAATTTTCATGTAATTTTTTTTTGTATATAACAGAACATCCTGAGATTGTTGATGAAGTTAATAGAAAAAGTGCAGAATTAGATGATCGACTTAAGAAAGTTTTCGTTACCTCATCGGAATATGTGAGATTTCAACTTCCAAAATGATAAGAATTTATTTTCTAATAACTATGATTGTAGGTCGATCAAAGACGCATAATAAATCCCGAGAAGCCTCTTCCAGTGAATCGAAAATATGTAGAAGATTTCGAGTTTGGTTTCAAAGAACCTGAGCCTGAAAAGGTGGCGTTAGGGAAATGTACACTTCGTCAAGCGATTCAATTCTTATCAGATCATCAATTAGATGGTGGAAAATGGACAGCCGAGAAAATTGCACAAGAATTTAAGTTAAAACAAGATAATGTTCAAAATATTCTCGATCATTTTCATATGTTCAATATCCATATTTCAAAGAAAGAAGGAAAAGCAAAGAAATATCTTCTGGATGATTATCGTGAACGATCAGGGAAAATTGATGAAACATTGAAAGGAACAAGAAAGTTCTAAATTTTCATTCTTATTAGGTTGAATGTATTATGTTAAGATAGTAAATTAAAGCGAAAAAAAATTTAGATAAAAAAAGATTTTATTGTTTAATTAATGTTTGGTGGACAATCAAAAAGAATTAAAGATTTGTCTTCAGAAGCAGAAACGACACGATCACTATTAGGACTGTATTTCACTGCCCACACTTGATCTTGGTGATCATTGAATGTATGAATGCATTTACGTTCGGTCATATCCCAAATTTTGACAGTTTTATCAGAAGATGATGACGCAAATCTTTTTCCATCTCCTGAGAACGACACGGAAAGCACCCAACTTGAATGACCTGACAAAGTTTGAACAACATCAGAATGAGCCACATCATAAAGTTTCATATGACGATCGTCAGATGCTGTCAGTAACATTTGTGAGTCAGGAGAAAAGCAAAGACTTCGCACAGACATCGCGTGACCTTCGAGAGTTTGAACAACTTTTCCTGCCTGGACATCAAAAATGTTAATAATTCCATCGAGTGCTCCGCTTGCAATATATTTTCCATCAGGACTGTAAGCAAGACTCAAAGTGAACTTCCCGTTTTGTGGATCAAGAACTTGCTCTGCTTTTCCACTGTCAACATTGTACATCGAAATTTTCCCATCATATGAGCCAGAAATAACATATTTGTTGTCAGGAGAGAATGCCACTGTCCAAAGATCAACGGGTCCAAGCGAAATTTGATTCAATAATTTTCCATCTTCAGAATTCCATAAACAAAGTGTTGAGTCTAAGGAGCTGCTTGCAATATCTAAATAATTACAAAATGTGAAATTTTTTAAACTTTTCACAACTTTTGCCTTACTTACATTTTCCATTTGGCGATACATCAACAGAAACAATGCCCAGTGAGTGGCCAGTGAGAGTCAAAATATTTTTTATTTGAGTACTTTCAACGCGCCAAACTTTTACTTCGGGCGAATCGCTGCCATAACCGATGGCACCGGACACAATAAATTCATAGTCTTCCTTTTTCTTCTCTTTCGGTGCTTCCTCCTGATTATCTTCATCTATTTTTTCATCATCTTGCTTTTCTGTTTCTTCATGATGACTTCCCCATGCACAAGTCCTAAGATTATTCATTTGTTTACATTTCGTGGCTTTGGAAAAAATAATTTTTGTGTTACTTACCATATAGATCCAGCATGTGCTGACTCTTCCTTGTGTAAAACTGAAAACTGAAATTAAATTTTTAATTAATACTTAATTGTTTATGATTAAATATAGATGGAAAATTATATTTGCCGATTTTATTTACCATTTTCGAACTTTTTCAGGAAAAATTTATTTTTCGAAAATGTTTGTTTACTACAGTGGAAGATCGAAAGTTATGCACAATTTAACATTTTCGAATTTGAAGTCATCAAAAGCTTTTAGTCGACGTGTAAGCACCGAAAATAAAATAAAAATAAACTTAAAATAGATAATTAGAGTTTAAAGAGTTATAGAAAGTCATCATGTCGTTGGCTGAAAGTGCATGCTACACACTCATCAATGTTCCAGACACGGAGCCTTACAATGAAATGCAAATAAAGCAAGATTTAGGTAAGTTCCAAATCATTTCATGTTCGTGTTGTGAAAATCTAAAATTCTTCTCATTAACTCACAGAAAAAGGCGAAATAAGTTTAAAAATTGAGACACTGAAAAAAGTTATTCAGTTGATGCTAAATGGAGAACGTTTGCCAGGACTTTTGATGACAATTATTCGATTCGTGCTACCTTTGCAGAATCATACAATCAAAAAGTTGCTTTTGATATATTGGGAAATAGTTCCGAAAGTATCTGGAGATGGAAAGCTTCTCCAAGAAATGATTTTGGTTTGTGATGCTTACCGTAAGGATCTTCAACATCCAAATGAATTCTTACGTGGATCAACATTGCGATTTTTGTGTAAATTGAAAGAACCGGAACTTCTTGAACCACTTATGCCAGCAATTCAAGCTTGTCTTGATCATCGTCATTCTTATGTTCGACGTAATGCTGTTTTGGCTATTTTCACCATCTACAAGAATTTCGAATGGCTCGTTCCTGATGGACCTGAACTCATCGCTAACTTCCTTGACACGCAACAAGATATGTCATGTAAACGCAACGCTTTTCTTATGTTACTTCATGCTGATCAAGAAAGAGCATTGAACTATTTGGCTTCTTGTTTGGATCAAGTTCATAGCTTTGGCGACATTTTGCAATTGGTAATTGTTGAACTTATATATAAAGTTTGTCACACAAATCCAGCTGAACGTTCACGATTCATTCGGTGCATTTACAATCTTTTGAATTCCAATTCGAATGCTGTTCGATATGAAGCTGCTGGCACTTTGGTTACACTTTCAACAGCACCTACTGCAATTAAAGCAGCTGTTGGTTGCTACATTGAATTGGTCATTAAAGAAGCTGACAATAATGTGAAACTTATTGTTTTGGATCGTTTAATTGCATTGAAAGAAAATGAACACATGGAACGTGTCATGCAAGATTTAGTGATGGATATTTTGAGAATTTTAGCTTCAACTGACATTGAAGTTCGACGCAAGACTCTCACATTAGCCATGGATTTAGTGTCGTCGCGAAACATTGAAGAAATGGTTCTTGTGTTGAAGAAAGAAGTGACAAAGACGCACAACATTGAACACGAAGATACGGGAAAGTATCGACAATTACTCGTCCGTACACTTCATACTTGCAGCATTAAATTTCCTGATGTAGCACAAGCGATTATCCCAGCATTAGTCGAATTCCTATCAGACACAAACGAACTTGCATCAGCTGATGTTCTCATTTTCATTCGTGAAGCAATCGAGAAATTTCCATCACTTCGTTCATTGATTGTTGAAAAGTTACTCGAAGCATTCCCAGCTATCAAGTCAACAAAGATTCATCGTTCAGCTATGTGGATTTTAGGAGAATATGCTGCAAGTGCTAAAGAAGTTATTGAAGTATTTGATGTCATTCAACAAACTTTGGGCGAAGTTCCAATTGTTGAAATTGAACAGAAGAAATTAAAAGCGGAATCTAATTCAGAGAATGAACAACAAAATGGAACCACCGGTGCACCAACAATCACAACAACCACCAAAATAACATCAGATGGAACTTATGCGACACAAAGTGCTTTTAGTGTTCCGATTGTTCCGAAGAAAGAGAATCGACCACCGTTGAGACAATATTTAATGGACGGGGAATTCTTTATTGGCACAACACTTGCTGCAACTTTAACGAAATTGGTTCTTAAGTATCTCGATTGGGAAGATAATGTCATTGAGCGTAATCGCGTGTGCACAACAGCAATGCTTATCATGAGCTCAATTATGCATTTGGGAAAGTCGGGATTCCCGAAGAAACAAATCACCAACGACGATCTTGATCGAATCTTTTTATGTTTAAAGACTTTAAGTGAAAGAACTCCGGAAATAATCACTGTTTTCAAATCAGCATGTCGTGAAGCGTTAGCTGACATGTTGAGTGCTCAAACAGAAGAAGAACTACAAGAGAAGAGAAATAAAAAGAAACAAGCTGCAAAAGTGCAAGCTGATGATCCCATTTCATTCACACAATTAGCATCGAATCGTAATGATCAATTGGGTGAAAATGTATTTGAATCGAGCTTAAGTCAAGCATTGGATGGAACGAAATCAACAGCAATGTCTGATGTTGCTGTTCCGAGCAGTAAATTAAATAAAATCACGCAACTTACAGGCTTTTCCGATCCCGTTTATGCTGAAGCTTACGTTACTGTCAATCAATTTGACATCCTTATTGACGTTTTGATCGTTAACCAAACAAGTAAATTGTTCACCTTTACTTTGGGAAACTTTGTTAAATTATTTGTGGTTTTAGGTGACACTTTGCAGAATTGCACATTGGAACTTGCAACTGTCGGTGACTTGAAACTCGTTGAACGACCACAGCCGGTTGTATTAGCTCCTCATGACTTCTGCAATATTAAAGCGAATGTTAAAGTTTCGTCGACTGAAAATGGAATAATTTTTGGAAATATTGGTAAGCAAGTTTTTTGCTTTGCTTTTTTAGGATGTTTAATTTTTTTTAATTTTTCTTTAGTTTATGATACGTCGACCACAACAAATGTTGTCGTTTTAAATACAATTCATATTGATATCATGGACTATATAATTCCTGCTTCATGTTCCGATGCCGAGTTCCGAACAATGTGGGTGGAGTTTGAATGGGAAAATAAAGTAGCAGTGAATACAACAATCACCGATCTTCATGAATATCTTCGTGTTCTTTTAAAGAGTACGAACATGAAATGTTTGACACCAGAAAAAGCACTTTCAGGACAATGTGGATTTATGGCTGCAAATATGTATGCAAGATCGATATTTGGGGAAGATGCTTTAGCTAATCTTAGCATTGAGAAGCCTTTGGATAGCGCTGAAGCACCAGTTACTGGTCATATTCGTATTCGTGCAAAGAGTCAGGTAAGAAGCAAATCTTATCCTCAATGAATTCAATTATTTTTCATCATTAAATATTTACAGGGTATGGCTCTAAGCTTGGGAGATAAAATCAACCATTCTCAAAAAAATCTCCTTCAAGATAAAGTTCTTGCGGCTTAATCAATTACATTTAATGTTTCTGTCTCTTCTTTCTTCTAATTATATACCTATTCAGAATAGTTTTTAGGAAATATACATATTTTATTTTGTCTCCAATTGTAATTGAATTTAACATTCGTTAATAAAATATGAAAATTACTTTAAAGAAATTTTTAATTCATCATTCTTAATATAAAAAAAAATCGTTGAAAAAGCTCATCTTTTCAAAATTTATCGAGCATTTGATTTACCAAACATTAAAGTTTGTATCCCGGACACACTCGGACAAAAAAGGTGTCCGAGTTCATCATCATTGGAACATCAAACTGAGCCAATTTCCAAATTTTTTTAGTTTATCATCGTAATACCATTTTATATGTGTCAGGATAAGTTTTAATTAATTACGAAAGCCATAAAAATTCAATAGAAATATTAGAAGTAAATAAGAAAAGTATACAAATCGTGATTTCGCGAAAACTGTCGCGTTGTTTATTTTTCAAGTTCAACAAATCGTCAATTAACAATATTTTAATATGTACGAGGATCAGCACGCTAGAACAAATTTAAATGGCACCAGTAATGAAGTAAAGACAGAGGAACTTAAAAGCCCTACAAATGAAAATGTTCTGATGAAGCTCAAATCTTATTTGATTGCTCTTCGAGTTTGGTCATTGTCCGCAAGTATCATCCCGACAATACTTGGTAAGTTTTTCTTTAATAATTTGCATAAAATGATATCCAACAAGTCTGCTTACAAAGGGAAATCCTAATCTAAATACAGTATCAAAAACTTGATTTGGTATCTCATGTGATTTTATTTACTTCCTGAATGTTAAACTTGGGAAGATGATTTTAATCTTCTTCAATGGTTCGGTTGCAACCTTGCTGAACTGGTTCTTCACATCTTCATTATGTTTGACATTAATTTTAGTCATATGTTTTCTTTCTCGTGCTTTTTTAAGGTGCTGCAATTTCTTTTCGAACACCAGCTCAGCATGACTTTAGTTTGATAATATTTATACTCAACGTGTTCACAATTGCATTAGTGCATTGTGCCGGAAATGTGGTCAACACTTATTTTGATTATGTCAAAGGAATCGATAATCGAAAATCAGATGACAGAACTTTGGTTGATCATATCTTAACAATCGACGAGGTAAGCAAACAAAACAACAGAACAAAGAATTGTGTATGCAACAGCGTCCATGACCTTGATTTTCTTTTATATTTTAGGTGGTTTCGCTAGGTGCAATATTATACACTCTTGGTTGTATTGGATTTATATTGTTGGCGATACTCTCACCAGCACGAATGGAACATTTAGCGCTTGTGTATTTTGGCGGATTATCTTCGTCGTTCCTTTACACTGGCGGAATCGGTTTAAAGTATATCGCACTTGGTGATGTTATCATTTTGATTATTTTTGGACCAATATCCGTCATCTTCTCATACATGTCACAAACTGGAAACATCAATTGGGCTTTAATCTATTACGCAATTCCATTAGCTTTAAATACTGAAGCCATATTGCACAGCAACAACACAAGAGACTCGGAATCAGATCAAAAAGTTGGAATCGTTACACTCGCGATTCTTATCGGACGTACTGCATCACATGTTCTTTATGCGCTTCTACTTTTCACACCGTACATCATATTCGTAGTCCTAAGCTTTAAGTTTTCTCTTTGGTTTATTTTGCCTCTCGTCACTCTACCACAAGCCTTTAAAATTGAGAAGCAATTTCGTAATGAAAAAACACTTCAAGGTGTCCCAAGCCAGACTGCAAAATTAAACTTCTTCTTCGGTCTACTTTATATCGTCTCATGCTGCTGTGTACCACACTTACCTCTTATTTCTCGAATTTAAATTCAACTTGATTTGTATTTGACATGAATTGACTTAACTTGTTGTTTCTACCCACAAAAAATGTTTCTTTGAAACTACAAACTCATCGCATCGCATCAGAATTGCCGTCGCGAATCGAAAAATAAAAAAAAATAACTCAAATAATTGTCACATTAGCTACACATCAAAGATCAGATCATTATGAGATGGATGATGATGAAGAGTTATCATCAATGAGATTTTATTAAATAATATTTGGGCATTAATCATTTTTCTTTGATTATTCATTGAAAAGAAGAAAAAAAAAGTGGAACAAAATTGAATCTTGTATTGTCATCTGTCTCGTGATCTGTCTTCTTAAAGAATTCATTGAAATGAGAAGTTTTCAACCATAAAAAAAGCAAACAAACAATATAGTCTCTGCCAAATTATCTAATTTTCTTATGGGAATCTCCAATTGTCTTACCGTCAGTGATTCCAGTGCTTTTAAGCTGAGTAAAATTAAAAGAATGAAGAAGCATGTGCTGAGAAAGATATTTGTAATGTTGATGTTTTGATCCATTTAAAAAATTTATATATATTTTTTTTGTACTTAATTACGGCTTGTTAGTTTATTACGCTCCCTCATTGTTACTAATATCAAAGAACAACATAAGATGAAGAATTTTTTTTAAAATCTCTTTCTAAAGTATGATAAGAAGAAGAAAAAATATCATTGTTTTAATATCATTTTGATGATGTTTGATGATTATTATACAATTTCAAAAAGAAAAAAAAATGAAAAAGATATGACAATAAAGTGAAATACTTATGTATAAAAAGATTTTAATTAAATTTTCCTTCATCAGGATGAAACGTTTTATAACGGATGAAAAGATTTCAAACTTCACGCAACACAAATGTAGTACTTTGACACCCTGAAAACACAAACGCAGCCACAGACGTAATTACATGATGTAAAGTAATGTTAGTGTGCTAAACTGACGTGGTTCTTCATAGGCAAGAGATTATTTATAAATTGTCCAATAACGTGAGAAGTTTGTCATTATTAATTAAAAGTTTGTGTGGAAAACATCCAATATTAGTTAACAGTTAATTAGGAAAAAGTATGAAGTATTTATTAGCAATTACACTAGGAATAGTGCTGCTAGTTTCCACAGGTTTGTTTCTTTTGCAAATTCTTATTTTTCTGGGAGATTCTTTTATCTTATTACTTAAAATTACTGTTCTAACATTAAATGTTTTTATCACAGGACTTCTTGTTAGTGGAAATGATGAGAAAAAGTCAGGAGATGAAGTCAAAATCGACGCAACGTTAAAGGCCGGCACCGGGACTGATTCAGAGACATTAGCAAAAGAAGAAGAAGCTATCAACATTGATGGACTTAGCGTTAAAGAACTTAAACAGCTAAGAGAAAAGGTCAGGAAAATCTTCTATTTAATTCATATATTAAGTTTCATTGAAAATTCTTGAAGACTAAAAAAAAGTTTGAAATGTTCAGGCCACGTAAGTGTTTACAATTTTCTTCTTCTTCGTCTTTTCTTTTCTTTAGGCTGAGAAGTTTACGTTCCAAGCTGAAGTAAATCGCATGATGAAGCTCATTATTAACTCTCTTTATAAGAACAAAGAAATCTTCTTGAGAGAATTGATCTCAAATGCCAGCGATGCACTCGATAAAATCCGCCTTTTGTCACTAACAGACCGAGGCGAATTGGAAACCAACACCGATTTGGTGATAAGAGTAAAAGCTGATAAGGAAAATAGAATTCTTCACATCTCCGACAGTGGAGTTGGCATGAGCCATAATGATTTAATTAATAATTTGGGAACGATTGCAAAATCTGGAACTGCAGATTTCTTATCGAAAATGCAGGATGGTGAAGCACAACAAGATGCAAATGATATGATTGGACAGTTTGGCGTTGGATTTTATTCAGCTTTCTTAGTTGCCGATAAAGTTACTGTCACGACAAAGCATAACACTGACAAACAATACATTTGGGAGAGCGATGCTGCCAGCTTTACAATCGTTGATGATCCACGCGGTGACACTTTGAAACGAGGTTCACAAATCTCATTACATTTGAAAGAGGAAGCTCAAGATTTCTTAGAGGAAGACACAATTAAGCAACTCATCAAGAAATATTCCCAATTCATCAATTTCCCGATTTACATGTGGACATCAAAGACAGTCGAGGAAGAAATTCCAGACGAAGAAGAAGTAACTGAAAAGCCATCAACTGATGACGAAACTGAAGATGATGAAGCGAAAGTTGAAGAAGACACTGAAGCTGAAAAAGAACCAAAAATGAAGAAAGTGACAAAGACTGTTTATGATTGGGAGTTGATGAATGATAGCAAACCAATTTGGACACGTAAACCCAACGATGTCACACAGGATGAATATGATGAGTTCTATAAGAGTTTAACCAAAGACACTGACGTTCCATTAACGCAAACACATTTCATTGCTGAAGGTGAAGTAACATTCAAGTCGCTTTTATTTGTTCCCAAAGTTCAGCCATCGGAAAGTTTCAATAAATATGGCACGAAATCGGATAACATCAAGTTGTATGTTCGTCGTGTCTTCATCACTGATGAGTTTAATGACATGATGCCAAACTACTTAAACTTTATTCGTGGTGTTGTTGATTCTGATGATTTGCCATTGAATGTTTCGAGAGAAACTCTACAGCAACATAAATTGATTAAAGTTATTAAGAAGAAGTTGGTTCGTAAAGCTTTAGATTTGTTGAAGAAGTTGGATGCTGAAGAATATGAAAAGTTCTGGAAGGAATATTCGACAAACATTAAACTTGGAATTATGGAAGATCCAAGCAATCGCGCTCGTTTAGCAAAACTTTTGAGATTCCAATCGTCGAATGGAAAGGAAGGAAAATTGACGAGTCTTTCGGAATACTCAAGCCGAATGAAGCCTAAACAAGAGTGGATTTACTACATTGCTGCATCTAGCCGTGCTGAAGCTGAGAAGTCGCCATTCATTGAACGTCTTGTAGCCCGTGGCTATGAAGTTTTGTTCCTTGTCGAAGCTGTTGATGAATATTCAATCTCAGCATTGCCCGAGTTTGATGGTAAGAAGTTCCAGAATGTCGCCAAAGAAGGTTTCACTTTACCCGAATCCGAAGAAGCAAAAGCAAAGTTTGAAGAATTGAGAAATAGATTTGAGCCATTAGCTAAATGGTTCAGTGAAAATGGACTGAAAGATCAAATCACAAAAGCTTTTCCATCTGAGAAATTAACAAACACGCCTTGTGCCCTCGTTGCAAGCATGTTCGGATGGACTGGAAACATGGAACGATTGGCGATGGCAAATGCACATCGAAAGACAAATGACGTACAACAAACTTATTATTTGAATCAAAAGAAAGCTCTCGAGTTCAACCCGCGTCATCCTGTTCTTAAAGAATTGTTACGCAGAGTCGACGCTGATCCTGAAGATCCAAAAGCAAAGGAAATCGCACAAATTCTTCTCGACACTGCCGTCCTTCGATCTGGTTACATGCTTCAAGAAACATCGAAATTTGCTGATTCTATCGATCGCATGATGCGTTTAACACTCAACGTTGACGATGAGTTCGATCCAGAATTTGAAGAATTCCCTGAACCAAGTGAGAAGACCGAAGTCAATGAAAATGCCGAAGAAGAAGATGAAGAAGAAATTCAAGATTCAGAAGATGGTGACATTGATCATGATGAACTTTAATGAGTTTCTTTCTTTCTCCTTCTCGCATTTCTTCACTTTCATCATCTTTTTAATTGCATAATTAAGAACTGAGTCCTATAAAGAAAAATTGCACATTAATTAAGAAAGAAAGAGAGAAGGAGAGAAAGTAGTTAAATAAGATAAAAAATTTCTTTGCTTGTCGCATTAATTCTAAGTATCATTAAAACAAAATTGAATTAAATTTAATCAGATTTGTAAAAAAGTTAGAAAATGCATTTTCAGACTTTGTCATCGACAAGAGTGACGTGTCGATGTCAAAGTTTGATTTTTCTCCTTTTCTTCGACGTGAATTTGATATCAATAGTCAGTGGAACAAAGTTTTGTGAAGAATCATTCCCAATAAATCATTGAAAATGTTCATTTTAAGAACATTGAAAATATGAAAACATTTTCTTTTCATTACATACAAAAAGTTCTTTATTATCATCAGAAAGATTAAAGTTTTATAATAAAAATATTTCTATGTTCATTTTGAGTACATCAGTTCAGAATTTTGTTCTTTTTTTTATAAAAAATTTCTTGTCTAAATAGTTTTTGTTGTGATTGAGACTTGGAAACATCAGACACACGTTTAAATACTTTTCGTTCTTCATCTACGAGTAATTAAGGGCTAAAAAACGTTGGAAATTTCTTGATTAATGTTGGCAGCACACAACAAGACTTTGTTAGTACGTTAAAAAGGAAAAACAAACAACATAAATGATTACAAGTTTAATAATTTAACTAAAAAGGGAAGAAAAAAATTAATTCATTATTGCATGTCTAAGATCATGTCTTAATTGTTAAAACTATTTATTGTAAAGTATAATCACGATAATTTTTCATTGCCTTCAGTTCCTTTTTGATTTTTGCGATGAAATCTGACGGCTGAAGTAACAAACTCATCTCTAAGCTGCTCGAGTTTAAAAGCAGTTCAATCTCATCGTACTTCTTATGACTTATTAAGCTGAGATTCCTAAAGTTTATTTGTGTGATGATCCACGTTGAATCTTCGTCCTGCGAGATTGGTCGCGGAGGGATATGAGATGATATTGAATTGGGAATGATTTCGACAATTGCTGAGCTGCTTCCATCTCTGATGATGCCGAGACATTGGCCTTCGAATTCACGTTTGATGAGAAAGATACCAGCGAGTGGTAATCGACGAATCGTGACTTCAACGAAAAGACCAGAACACATCTTGATATATTTTTGAGCATCGGACGGTGACTTTATGACAATGTTGTTGATTGCAAGCAATTGATCGCCAACATGAAGACAATAAAGGACGGGATTTGGTTTGAAACCAGCGATCCAAACACTACCGAAAGCCGACACAAAAGCAATTGAATCAACGCAATCTTTCTTACGCAATTTAAATCTGATTTCAGTGTTGATTTCATTTCTCAATTGCTGAACTTGCTTCTCACGCAACGATAATTTGCGTTTCTCGTGATGTTTCGGTGTTGCTGGTGCGGATTTCTTCGGCGATCCTTGAACAACAATCTTTTCCGTCTCTTTAACTTTAATCATTTGTTTCACTTCACCACTTACGCCCACACCATTTTCACAATTAACCACTGATGTTGATGTTGAAGGTGCTTGACTTTGACTTTGAGTCTCAATAGGCTTCGGCAGTTGCGATTGTAGTGATGACGACATTACATGACTATGCATTAAACTCGTTGCATTTGAAAGTTGATCATAATCCATTTCAATTTTTATTTTCGTGACTCTCGGATTATTTTCCTTTCGATGAGCTTGACTTGAAATCATTTCATTTTCGGCGATCTTAATAACGGTAATATTATCACGTGGTACTGACTGTGCTTCCACATTCACTTCCGGAATGTAATCAATATCGACGGAAGTTGGTGGAACATCTTCATTATTCTCTTTTTCATTGATGTCATCGTCGTCGTCTTCATCATCGTCTGGTTCAACATTGAAAAGATCTTGAAATGCAGCTGCATAATTTAAAGTGTTTGTCGTATGGCGAAGTGGATTTGAGAGAAGATTTATGAGATTCTGTGAAGTTGTGTTTGATGTTGAGAAGTTGAATATTGGAATGGTGATTGGATCGGCAGTTGTGTCATCATCGTCTGCATCGTTTATTGCTAGAACATCGAGAATATTCTCAACTTGTTGTGTAGCCTCATTTTCACTATTAACAACAACTTGTTCACGAGTGTTTCCATTGTGATTGGAGTTGTTATCAACTCTTTCTGTTAGTTCTAAGCCTGGAATGTCGGACACATTCATTGGACGTTGTGGAAGTGGGTCACGAGGATTTCGTGTCGATTGAATGATTGCTGGCTTCATTCCTGGTGGTTTTGTGTAAATATTTTCTTTAGGCGAGAGTATCTTAAGTTCACGTAATTTCAGTTTGAGACAGTTGACCCATTCAATCATGAGATTCCTACAAAGAAAAAAATTAAATTAAAAAAAGAAAGTGAAAGGGGATTAAGAAGAAGTGGTTAAGTTTTTTTTCTTTTAATTTACCAAGTTTTTGCAGCAAACGTCACAACATCACAGTTTTCGAGTGATATAACAAATTCAAATGTTTCTTGTTGTCCAAGAGATCTCACTGGAATTTTCAGTCCCACGTAGTTGCACTTTTTCAGATCCAACACTTGAGTTGGTGTGTGAGTTGTTGCTTGGACTTTTTTCGTGTATACTAAGCAAATAAAAAGAAATCATAATTGAGTCATAATGACCTTCATAGTCATTTTTATGCAAATCTTACTTTCCAAGAAAGGTTCATCTTCATGGATACATAGAATCACAAAAACTTTTTTATTCAGATGATTCAGAAAAGATTGTTTAATAATTTCCATTTTTTGCTAAATTTCCCATTCTTCTTGAAATTTTAATTCAATCTCCTTAGTCTAATAGTTGTGATGAGACGATAAACTAAGCTTAAAAGTCAGTAGTTTTTTCTTAAATGCAATTGTCCTAATTTTAAAAATATAACTCGAAAATAGAAAATTATTCGACTTGTGTTTTTTCTCCCCTTGGTATCCCCCAAATGGTATTTTTCAAATTTCCCCTTGTTGTTGAGTTTTTCGAAGTTGCTCAAATTTCAATGTTTTACAAATGTTTTTTCCTCAGAAATACTACAAGAAGCCTTCCTTATTTAAGGTTTTAAACACTGATTTTAGGTTTTTATTAATGAATTAACTTTTGTTATAAAAAACAGAAGCATTGCTGATAACTCGAAAATAGAAAATTTTCATTTGCTAAATTGATGTTTTCTCAATGTTGAACGTTGTTCGGGCGCAGGGTCGCGCACGCAGGGCTGTTGAGTGAAATTAAAATTAAAAATTTATTAACCGTTAAGAAACAAAATTTGGGTCAAATTCAATCATTTGAAAGAATTCCAACAATAATTTATTGTAAAGCAAAATATATATGATTTTATTAACATGTTGTAACATAGGAAACATTTAGAAATATCAGGAATATGAAATCTAATGAGTGTTTTTATAGTTATTTAATAATAATGTTTTCAAGTTCATAAGAATAAAAAAAATTAAAGATTCATTCAAATTTAAAGATAATTGCTTCTAAACAATTGTTTCTAAATTTTGATCCAGTCTCATCACTTTTGCCATGACATCAAACGTTATTAAGCATCAGCTTGTTGGTTGATTATTGGCTCTTGAAGCTCGGGATCAGCTCCACAACGACAAACTTTCCTTGCAATGGCACGAATTGGATTCATTACAATGATGTTATTGTAGACACACATTCCGAAGAGTAAACTGATGAATCCTACAACTTGTAAATAGTGGAATGATTGCCATCCGATCAACAATGACACTGCCCAAATAACCATCGTTCTTATGGAATCAAGAACCATTCGAGTTGTGGCAGAAATTTCTTTCGTTACCGAGATGCCAGCAAAGTTGAAGAATGCAATGGAGATAATTGTTCCAGAAATGGGAACCATAAGCAAATGATTATTTTTTATCATGTAGAATGCGTCAATAGCATCTTCCATTACTCCACGAGGATTATTAGTGAATTTTGAAGGTACCGAGATGAAGTACATAGGAATCAACAACAAAGATAACACAGAGAAACCGAAGAATCCTTCCCAGCCAACTGCTTGAAGTGCGGGAATATCTAATCCAGCGACGAAACGTTCTTCAAACACCATTTGAGAAGCAGTAATAATTTGAGCCAAAATAATTAATGAATCGCCAATTAAAACATCCAATCGATCAACGTCAGAGTTATTGCCTCCAAGCATGTCACTTAAACCGACACATGTGAGTCCAATAATAATAAATCCGATACCCATCCATTCTCTTAACTGAAGACGTCTTTGGAGAAAGATCATGGAGAAAATTGCAACAAAAACAATCACAGATCCACGAAGCATTTGAAAAGATGAAGCGTAAGTTAAGTTGAGACCAATATACATAGTCGACGTTGCAATCATATCAAGCATCTGCAACAAAGATATTTTATGAAATAATCACGACTTTTCCTTATCAATTAAAACTTACAGCTGCCGGCCATAATATAAGTTGATTAAAGTTTCGATTTCCTTTTGTCAAAGTTGTTACATCTTCACTTCCATCCTGTAAAAAATTATTAATTAGATATTTAATCAGTTTAAGCGAGTCATCATTTGAAAAACAAAAGTTCATTCCACTACAAAAAATATTTCTAAATGATTCATCGTTGGATCAACTTACATTCCGTTTGCGTAGTTGGTAAAATATCGCCTTAAAAACGATTAAGCACATGAATTCACCGAAAAACATAAAACAAGCTTGGACAAAAGGATGATCAAATGTTCTTGGTTCTCCTCCATCTTTTCCAACTGATGAAATTTTGTCAGCCCATCTTTTATAATCAAATTTAAATAGAAAAATGTTATTCAATACTTTACTGACTTTCAATAGACTTACTTTGTAGTTAGAGTGTTTAGAGAACCTGTTACGACGAGAAGAATAGCTAAGAATACTTGAAATTTTGACCACGCCATATCAAATTATAATTAAAATGTTTTTATTTATTTTTTAAAACAACACTTTCTTTGTCGTCTTATTTTGATTTTCAAGTTGATAAATAATGCAACAATGAAAGTAAAAGCGTCTTAGGCATTTAAAGAGGTCAGAGTTTGGTTTATATACACCAGATGTCGTGCTGGTTTGTATACATGTTTCGTCAGTTTCAAACTTGCTTTTGCTTCAAAAAGTTAATAAATTAAATTCTGTAGAAAATTCAAAAGACAGATAAAAAGAAAAATAATTCCTGAATTACCAGTGTGCTAGGCAAAAATACTTGAAGTTAAAACTTCGAAGAACAATTTTATAAAATAAACATTTGTGAGTTATTTCGAATAGTTTTTTTTTTCGATTCACATTACTTCGTTTTCTGAAATTTAAGGTTTAAAATTCAAAATCAAATAAATTTGAAAGAATTTCCACTACCTCAACAAATCTTCCAGTAAAATGCCTTTGAAAGTCCTGAGAAAACCAGACTTGAACATCAAAGTCGTTCTTAATGATATTTTTTCTGACTTCAAAAATTCCAATGAAAAATGCCGTTTGTGCTTTAAGGAAGTTTTTGATCAAAATTCAAGAATTTACGAGACAACTGACAGGAAAGACGAGATTAATTCTATCTTGCAAGTTTACTTGTCTTTGGATGAAAGAGGATCAGAATTTGTGTGCTCAGAATGTGAAAACAAAATAAACAATTTACATCAGTTCAAGAGGAAAATAGATGAGAACCATGAAAATTTTGAGAAGTTTAGCAGCCTGAAATATGACAATGTCAACAACGATAATTTCATCAAAACTGAACCAGAACTGTCTAAATATAAGGAATCTGACTTCAAAAATTGCAATGAAGAATGCAGCTTGTGTTTCAAGGATGTTTTCTATCAAAAGTCAAGAATATATTTGACAGATGACATAAAAGACAAGATTTATTCTATCTTGCAAATCAACTTCTCTGTGGGTGGAACAGGATCAGAAATTTTGTGCATAAAATGTGAGAACGAAATAAATATCTTTCATCGGTTTAAAGAGATGATACATGAAAAGCAGAAATATTTTAAAATGTTCAGCATGAAAAAGGATAAAGCCAACTACTATGAACTTACGTTGGCATTAAATGAACAACTCGTAAAATCTGAACCGGAGCTGTCTATATGCTCGGAGTCTATTTTCGATGAAGTTAAAGAAGATACGTCTGAATCTGAACATGAAAATCAAAATGATTCAATTGAAGATCATCTTTTGGAGTCAAACATCACTGAACGGAAAGTACAGGCAAGTTCTGGAATTGCTCCTTGCAACGTCTGTGGAAAACAATTTAAAAGTCGCCACTATCTCAAGCAACATTACATAAGAGTGCATATGAATTTAAGACCTCATCAATGTGATATATGTGGTAAAAGATTCCCACGTCGATGTGATGTTGCTACACACATAAAAACGCATAGAGAAAGAAAAAAGAAAAAATACAATTGCGATAGATGTGAACGTTCTTTCTTCATTAAAGGAGATTTACGAAAACACGAGTTAAAGTTCCATAAAGATGATATTAAGCCTCATCAGTGTAATATTTGTGGCAGAAAGTTTCTTGCACGATGCAGACTTGATATGCATATGGACACACATAGAGAAAATAGAACAAAAGATCATCATTGCGATATCTGCAAAACTTATTACTTTCATAAGGAATTATTACAAACACATATATCAAGATATCATGAGGATAAACCGTTATCATGTACATCATGTGGAAAAGGCTTTAAATTGGAACAAAAGCTGAAAATTCATTCCTGTAGTAATTTAAAGAAATCAGTACAATCAACTAAGAAATATGAGTGTGATATATGTGGAAGAATAATTCGAACTCAAAAAAACTTTTTTTATCACATGGACACACACAGGGAAAATAGAACAAAGGATCACCTTTGCGTTATCTGTGAATGTTCGTTTTTTAATAGCATAGGATTACGAGACCACATGTTAAAACATCATGAAGTTAAACTGTTTTCATGTTCATTATGTAGAAAAACTTTCAAATTGAAGAGAAATTTGGAGTCTCATATTTGTAGTTATGTTCAAGAATTAAATGATAGTCAACAATTCACTCATTGCCAAGTTTGTGGAAAAATATTCAAAAATGCTTTTAGACTTAAACGCCACCAGAGAGTTCATGTGAATTCTAAACTTTATGAGTGCGATATATGTGGACGGAAAATTCAATCTCGAAAAACCTTTTTTTATCACATGGAGATACATAGAGAAAAAAAACAGAGAAAGTTTTTTATCAGAAATTTAAGGTTTAAAATTCAAAATCAAATAATTTTGAAAGAATTTCCACTACCTCAACATGTCTTCAAGTAACATGTCTTTGAAAGTCCTGAGAAAACCAGACATGAATACCAAAGTCGTCCTTAAAGATATTTTTTATGACTTCAACAATTCCAATGAAAAATGCCGCTTGTGCTTCAAGGAAGTTTTCGATCAAAAGTCAAGAATAAATTTGACAGATGACAAGAAAGACGAGATTAATTTTCTCTTTCAGGTTTACTTGTCTTTGGATGAAAGAGGATCAGAATTTGTGTGCTTAAAATGTGAAAACAAAATAAACAATTTACATCAATTCAAGAGGAAAATAAACGAAAACCATAAATATTTTGAGAAGTTGAGCAGCCTGACATATAACATAGCCAACAACGAGAACTTCATAAAAACTGAACCAGAACTGACTTTATCAAAGGAATCTACTCTCAAAGAAGTCATACAAAGAACTCGTAAGGCGAATCATAGAAAAAATTTTAATAAGCTAGATTTGAGTGTCAAAGTCGTCCTCGAAGATATTTTTTCTGACTTCAAAAATTCCAATGAAAAATGTAGCTTGTGTTTCAAGGAAGTTTTCTATCAAAAGTCAAAAATACATTTGACAGATGATATAAAAGACAAGATCTATTCTATCTTGCAAATTAACTTCTCTGTGAATGGGTCAGGATCAGAATTTTTATGCTCAAAATGTGAGAACGAAATAAAGAACTTTCATCGATTTAAAGAGATGATAAATGAAAAGCAGAAATATTTTGAAAAGTGTAGCAGTATGAAAAAGGACAAAGCCAAAAACTACGAACTTACATTAACATTCAATGAACATCTCGTAAAATCTGAACCGGAACTGACTATTGTCGATGAAGTTGAAGAAGAAACGTCTGAATCTGAAAATGAAAATCAAAATGATTCAATTGAAGATCATCTTTTGGAGCCAAACGTCACTGATCAGGAAATCCAAACAAGTTCTGGATTCGTTCCTTGCAACGTCTGTGGAAAACAATTCAAAGGCCACAAGAATCGAAAGCAACATTACCTGAGAGTACATGTTAATAAAAGACCTCATCAGTGTGATATATGTGGTAAAAGATTCCGACATCCATGCCTTGTTGCTGCACACATGAAAAGGCATAGAGAAAGAAAAACAAAAAGGCACAGAGAAAGAAAAACAATAAAGGAAATAAATTACAAGTGCGATAGGTGTGAAAGTTCTTTCTTCAGTAACGGAGATTTACGAAAACACGAATTACAATTTCATAAAGATGATATTAAGCCTCATCAGTGTAATATTTGTGGTAGAAGATTTCTTGTACGTCGCAGACTTGATTTGCATATGGAGACACATAGAGAAAATAGAACAAAAGATCATCATTGCGATATCTGCAAGACTTCATACTTTCATATCGAAGCATTACATAGCCACATACTAAGATATCATGAAGATAAACCGTTTTCATGTACAAAATGTGGAAAAAGCTTTAAATTAGAACAAAATCTGAAAATTCATATATGCAATTTTTTTAAGGAATCATGTAAAAATCAACATGACATGTCAAACAAACAAGACCTTAAAAGTTTTCCCTGTGAAATTTGCGGGAAATTATTTAGAAATGGTTCTCAACTCAAGCAACATCACAGAAGAGTGCATTTGAAAATTAAAGCTTACCAATGCGATATTTGTGATAAAAGTTTTTATGTTCGAAAAGATCTTGCCAGGCACATTGACACACATAGAGAAAACAGAACAAGAGATTATCATTGTTACATCTGTGAGAAATCATATTTAAATAACGAAGGATTAAGGAAGCATGTAAGACGTTGTCATGAAAATATTGAAAAACCGTATCANTAAAATATTTTTATTTATTTTTAAAACAACACTTTCTTTGTCGTCTTATTTTGATTTTCAAGTTGATAAATAATGCAACAATAAAACTAAAAGCGTCTTAGGCATTTAAAGAATCTTGAATTGAAGTTTTCCCGCGCAATATTTGAAATTTTTAGAGTTCTGTTATTACACACCAGAGGTCGTGCATGTTTGTATTCATGTTTCGTCAGTTTCAAACTTGCCTTTGCTTCAAAAAGTTAATTAGTACCTAAATTTATATGACAGATAAAAGAATAAAAAATTACTAAATTAAGTGTGCTAGCCAAAACTATTTAGTATTGAAACTTCAATGCGAAGAACAGTTTTAAAATAGTAAAATAAGGAATTGTGAGTCATTTCAAAAAGGTTTTATTTTTTTTTCAAATTCAAATAAAGTTTTTAAGAATTTCCGCAACCTCAACAAGTCTTCCAGCAACATGCCTTTGAAAGTCCTGAGAAAACCAGAATTGAATACCAAAGTCGTCCTTAAAGATATTTTTTCCGACTTCAAAAATTCCAATGAAAAATGCCGCTTGTGCTTTGAGGAAGTTTTCGATCAAAATTCAAGAGTAAATGTAACAACTGACAAGAAAGACGAGATTAATATTCTCTTTCAAGTTTACTTGTCTTTGAATGAAAGAGAATCAGAATTTGTGTGCTCAAAATGTGAAAACGAAATAAACAATTTACATCAATTCAAGAGGAAAATAAACGAAAACCATAAATATTTTGAGAAGTTGAGCAGCCTGAAATATGACAATGCCAGCAATGAGAACTTCATAAAAACTGAACCAGAACTGTCTATATCAAAAGAATCTACTCTCAAAAAAGTCATACAAAAAACTCGTAGAGCGAAGCATAGAAAAATCTTCAAGCAGCTAGATTTGAATGTCAAAGTCGTCCTTGAAGATATTTTTTCTGACTTCAAAAATTTCAATGAAAAATGCAGCTTGTGTTTCAAGGAAGTTTTCTATCAAAAGTCAAGAATACATTTGACAGATGATATAAAAGACAAGATCTATTCTATCTTGCAAATTAACTTCTCTGTGAATGGGTCAGGATCAGAATTTTTATGCTCAAAATGTGAGAACGAAATAAAGAACTTTCATCGATTTAAAGAGATGATAAATGAAAAGCAGAAATATTTTGAAAAGTGTAGCAGTATGAAAAAGGACAAAGCCAAAAACTACGAACTTACATTAACATTCAATGAACATCTCGTAAAATCTGAACCGGAACTGACTATTGTCGATGAAGTTGAAGAAGAAACGTCTGAATCTGAAAATGAAAATCAAAATGATTCAATTGAAGATCATCTTTTGGAGCCAAACGTCACTGATCAGGAAATCCAAACAAGTTCTGGATTCGTTCCTTGCAACGTCTGTGGAAAACAATTCAAAGGCCACAAGAATCGAAAGCAACATTACCTGAGAGTACATGTTAATAAAAGACCTCATCAGTGTGATATATGTGGTAAAAGATTCCGACATCCATGCCTTGTTGCTGCACACATGAAAAGGCATAGAGAAAGAAAAACAAAAAGGCACAGAGAAAGAAAAACAATAAAGGAAATAAATTACAAGTGCGATAGGTGTGAAAGTTCTTTCTTCAGTAACGGAGATTTACGAAAACACGAATTACAATTTCATAAAGATGATATTAAGCCTCATCAGTGTAATATTTGTGGTAGAAGATTTCTTGTACGTCGCAGACTTGATTTGCATATGGAGACACATAGAGAAAATAGAACAAAAGATCATCATTGCGATATCTGCAAGACTTCATACTTTCATATCGAAGCATTACATAGCCACATACTAAGATATCATGAAGATAAACCGTTTTCATGTACAAAATGTGGAAAAAGCTTTAAATTAGAACAAAATCTGAAAATTCATATATGCAATTTTTTTAAGGAATCATGTAAAAATCAACATGACATGTCAAACAAACAAGACCTTAAAAGTTTTCCCTGTGAAATTTGCGGGAAATTATTTAGAAATGGTTCTCAACTCAAGCAACATCACAGAAGAGTGCATTTGAAAATTAAAGCTTACCAATGCGATATTTGTGATAAAAGTTTTTATGTTCGAAAAGATCTTGCCAGGCACATTGACACACATAGAGAAAACAGAACAAGAGATTATCATTGTTACATCTGTGAGAAATCATATTTAAATAACGAAGGATTAAGGAAGCATGTAAGACGTTGTCATGAAAATATTGAAAAACCGTATCAGTGTGATATTTGTAGTAAAAAATTTGATGCACGGTACGAAATTGCTGCACATGTTGACATCCATAGAAAATATAGAACAAGAGATTTTAATTGCGATATCTGCAAAACCTACTATTTCAATAAGATATTATTGCAACAACATAAATCACACTGTCATGGAAATAAAATTTTTTCATGTGCATTTTGCGGGAGAACATTCAAAACGAAACGAGAACGAAAATCTCATTCTTGTAGTTATTTCAAAAAATCAAATAAAAATAATAAAAAATGGAGTCGAACAAACTTAATCCTAAACCAGACAATTTCACAAAATACTCCATGTGAAATCTGCGGAAGAATATTCAAACATGTTTCATGTTCAAGCAACATATGAAAGTGCATTTGAATAAAAAAAACCTGCATTCATGTGCGATATTTGTGATAGAAATTTTTATTGTCGATCTGCAATTGTTAGTCACATGGATACACATAGAGAAAACAGAACAAGAGATTATCAATGCCATATTTGTAAAAAACTCCTACTTCGAGTAGAGATCACTTCAGAAACATATATTTCAGAGCCATGAAGAAAAATAGTTTCATGCGATTGTGGAAAAATTTTCAAGTCGAAACGAAATCTGGATTTGATAACAACAAACGAAATCCTGAGATTGTCATTGCTTTACCACACAAAATTTTAATTTATGTAAGGAATTTATACTCAGTGAAAAATAAAAACTTAAAAATAACTAGGTAATCAAGTTTGTATTTTTCTATTTATTTTTTTTTAAACAACACTTTTTTTGTCGTCTTATTTTGATTTTCAAGTTGATAAATCATGCGTCTTAGGCATTTAAAGAACCTTGAATTGAAGTTTTCCCGCGAATAGTCTGAAATTTTTAAAGTTCGGTTTTCATATAACAGAGGTCGTGCTTGTTTCGTCAGTTTCAAACTTGCTTTTGCTTCAAAAAGTTGATAAATTAAATTCTCTAAAAAATTTAAATGACATATAAAAGGATAAAAAATTCCTGAATTACTAGTGTGCCAGACAAGAATATTTAGAATTTAAACTTCAATACGAAGAACAGTTTTATATTGAAATTTGTGAGTCATTTCAAAAAGATTTTATTTTTGTTATTTATCTACAATATAAAAGTTGTTTTTTTGGAATTCAAGGTTCAAAATTCAAGATCAAATCATATTTGATAATTTTGAAAGAATATCCACTACCTCAACAAGTCTTCCAGCAACATGCCTTTGAAAGTCCTGAGAAAACCAGAATTGAATACCAAAGTCGTCCTTAAAGATATTTTTTCCGATTTCAAAAATTCCAATGAAAAATGCCGCTTGTGCTTCAAGGAAGTTTTCGATCAAAAGTCAAGAATAAATTTGACAGATGACAAGAAAGACGAGATTAATTTTCTCTTTCAGGTTTACTTGTCTTTGGATGAAAGAGGATCAGAATTTGTGTGCTTAAAATGTGAAAACAAAATAAACAATTTACGTCAGTTCAAGAGGAAAATAAACGAAAACCATAAATATTTTGAGAAGTTGAGCAGCCTGACATATAACATAGCCAACAACGAGAACTTCATAAAAACTGAACCAGAACTGATTTTATCAAAGGAATCTACTCTCAAAGAATTCATACAAAGAACTCGTAAGGCGAAGCATAGAAAAAATTTTAATAAGCTAGATTTGAATGTCAAAGTCGTCCTCGAAGATATTTTTTCTGACTTCAAAAATTCCAATGAAAAATGTAGCTTGTGTTTCAAGGAAGTTTTCTATCAAAAGTCAAAAATACATTTGACAGATGATATAAAAGACAAGATCTATTCTATCTTGCAAATTAACTTCTCTGTGGGTGGAACAGGATCAGAATTTTTATGCTCAAAATGTGAGAACGAAATAAAGAACTTTCATCGGTTTAAAGAGATGATATATGAAAAGCAGAAATATTTTAAAATGTTCAGCAGCATGAAAAAGGATAAAATCAACGAGGAACTTACGTTGACATTTAATGAGCAACTCGTAAAATCTGAACCGGAGCTGTCTATAAGCTCGGAGTCTATTTTCAATGAAGTTAAAGAAGAAACTTCTGAATCTGCACATGAAAATCAAAATGTTTTTAACGAAGATCATATTTTGGAATCCAAAATCACTGAACGGAAAGTTCCGACAAGTTCTGGAATCGTTTCTTGCAACGTCTGTGGAAAACAGTTCAAAGATCACAAGTATCTCAAGCAACATTACATTAGAGTGCATGTTAATAAAAGACCTCATCAATGTGATATTTGTGGTAAAAGATTCCCATATCGGTTCGAAGTTGCTACACACATGAAAACGCATAGAGAAAGAAAAATAATAAATTACAATTGCGATAGGTGTGAAAGTTCTTTCTTCAGTAACGGAGATTTACGAAAACACGAATTACAATTTCATAAAGATGATATTAAGCCTCATCAGTGTAATATTTGTAGTAGAAGATTTCTTGCACGACGCAGACTTGCTATGCATATGGACACACATAGGGAAAATAGAACAAAAGATCATCATTGCGATATCTGCAAAACTTCTTACTTCCATAAGGAATCATTACGACAACATATATTATATTGTCATGAAGATAAACCGTTTTCTTGTACATCATGTGGAAAAAGCTTTAATTGGAAACGGGGACTGAAAATCCATACTTGTAATTATTTCAAAAAATCAGTACGTTCAACTAAAAAATATGAATGTGATTTTTGTGGAAAAATGTTTCAAGTACAACGCAGACTTGCTATGCATATGGACACCCATAGAGAAAATAGAACAAAAGATCACCATTGCGTTGTCTGTGAATCGTCTTTCTTCCATATGGAATCATTGCGAAATCATATATTCCAAAATCATGAAGTTAATCTGTTTTCATGTTCATTATGTAGAAAAACTTTCAAGTTGAAGAGAAATTTGGAGTCTCACATATGTCGTTATGTTCAAGAATTAAATGACAGCCAACAATTTACTCATTGCCAAGTTTGTGGAAAAATATTCAAATATGCCTTTAGACTTAAACACCACCAGAGAGTACATTTGAATTCTAAACATTATCAGTGCGATATTTGTGGTAAAGAAATGATGAAGCGGTCCCGTGTAGTTCGTCATATGAACACACATATTGAAAAAAAAAGAAGAGATCATCATTGTGATATCTGCAAAACTTCTTACTTTGATAAACATTCATTGCGAAAACATATATTACATTGTCATGAAGATAAACCGTTTTCATGTACATCATGTGGAAAAAGTTACAAATTGGAACAAAATCTTAAATATCATATATGCAATTCTGTCAAAAAATCATATAAAAGTCAACATGGTTTGACAAACAAACAAGATCAGAGGAGTTTTCCGTGTGACATCTGCGGGAAAATATTCCAAAAAGGTTTTCAACTCAGGGAACATCATAGAAAAGTGCATTTGAAAATTAAAACGAACCATTGCAAAATTTGTGATAAAAGTTTTAATGCTCGACATTTTGTTAAGCACATGGAAACACATAGAGAAAACAGAACAAGAGATCATCATTGCCATGTCTGTGAGAATTCTTATTTTGATAAAGATGGATTAAGAAGCCATTTAAAAAATTGTCATGAAAATTTTGAAAAACCTTATGAGTGCGATTTTTGTGGTAAAAAATTCAATAAACGACACGAAGTGGCATCACATGTGGAACTCCATAGAAAATATAGAACAAGAGATTTTAATTGCGATATCTGCAAAACCTCTTATTTTAATAAGGGATTATTACAAAATCATAGATTATACTATCATGGAAAAGGATTCTCGTGTACATTGTGTGGGAGAACTTTCAAAATGAAGCGATCACTTAAATTTCATTCTTGTAGTTATTTCAAGGAATTAAATAAAAGAAAGTATGTGGATTCAAAAAAAATTAATCTTCAAGGCCAGACAATCTCCCAATATACTCCATGTGAAATCTGCGGAAGAACATTCAAGCATGTTTCAAGGTTCAAGCAACATATGAAAGGGCATTCGAATAAAAATAAAAATAAAAAACCTTATGATTGCGACATTTGTGATAAAAAATTTTTTTGTCGATCTAAAATTATTTTTCACATGGAGACTCATAGAGAAATTAGAGAGAAGGATTATCAATGCCATATTTGTAAAAACTCTTACTTCCATAAGAGATCATTACAACACCATATGTTTCGAGTCCATGAAGAAAAAAAGTTTCCATGCGATTGTGGAAAAATTTTCAAGTCGGAACGAAATCTAGAATCTCATACTTGTCGTTATTTCAAATTGATGAAAACAAACGAACTCCCGTATTGAAACATTAAAGTGATCAACTACCTAGGTAGTGAATATTGATGAAATTTTATAGCTGTTCATATCAGGTTTTAATTTATTCCATCTAAATAATATTCAGTACTGGAGAAAGTTTCAATACTTCAATAAGTAACATGTGAAAAACCTGAATCAAAACGTAGGACCATCATTGCCTAATACACAAAATTTATATTTATGGAAGGACTTTATACTCAGTAAAAAATAAAAACTTAAAAATCCTAGATACCTGAGGAAATTTTTTTATCTTCATTTATTATTAGTAGAAATAATTAAGAAAAAAATGTTCATTTACTAATTCTAACAAACGACAATATTATTATGAAAAGAAAATCAATCTAAGTCCGTTTATGATTTTCGTATGTAGGTTCGAATTTTTCTTTTGAGTGTAGCCATTATGGTGCTTACATCGTTTTGAGCAACTCCATCAGCATATTGGTTCCAAACTTTCAACATTTTTTTATCGTCCTTGATAACTGCTCGAGTGTCTCTCATATTTCTTTTAACAATAGCCCAGTAACTTTTAATAGGTCGAAGTTCTCGAGGAGATGGATTGAGCTCTTTTGGAATGATATCGATGTTATTTTGTGAGAACCAGTCTAAAGTTGCACGAGAATAACGAAAAGATGATAACTTTGGCCAGAAAATTGTTTCTGACTTGTGTTGTTTTATGAAGGGCAACAATCTTTTCTGAAGGCATTGTTCAATATAAATACTTGATGTCAGCTTCGATGATGTCACAAATGCTTTACTCTTTAGACCGCATGAGCATATGGCTTGCCAAACAAGAAATTGCTGATTTTTGAATTTAGGACTAAAAAGTTTTAGTTGTTCGGCATAGCTCAAAGGCTTTCGCGAGATATAATATTTTGCTCCTGGTTTTATTCCTTGATCAGAATTGGCATAAGTTTCGTCGTCCATGATAAGACAGCCATCAAATTTTGTCAAGACTTGAGTGTAGAGCTTTCGTGCTCGAGTTTTTGTAGGATTTTTCTCCTTTCTTATGAAGTTTTTGTCGGTTTGAGAAGTACTCATTTTTAATTTTTTTAACTGTACTGTAATTTTCTGACACTATTTTTGTTACGACCGGACCGACGATTTATATTTGTTTATTTTCCTATTAATTAGAATGAAGAATAAGAACGAGGTAAATTTTCTGTTCAATTTCTTTTTGTTATGAGCTATTTTAAGTGGAATAAGTGGATAACAATTTCTATTTGTTAACTTGCTTCTTCCGTTTTGGCGGTGTTTTCAGAACCTTACAACTAAAATTGAAAACTGCTGTTTCAGAGTTTTAAACAATTTTTGGCGGGTTAAAGGGTTTCATTCTGCAGTAATTTACAAAATTACAAATCAAGATGATCGACTTAGAAAAAGAATAATTTTGTGAATGAAAGCTTAACTTTTTAATTTTATTCTCAATGAAGACTCAAAAAAAATTATTAAACTTATTATTTATTTTCTTACACATTTTAACAGCCTTCTTCAGTTATTTTTATATCATTCATTAGACAAACGAGTCTCTATCATATGTTGGGCAATGTTACTTAAGACACCCTGGATCTTTTCAAGCATTTCCTCCCCTCGTTTAACAACTTCTTCAAGTTTTTCAGATTCAGATCGATTTTCTTCTTCAAGTAATTGGAGGCTTTGAACTTGCAGTTCTTGAGAGCTTTCGTCGCTAGGAAGTGAATCAATAAGTTGATCAATATCTTTGGCGCAACGAGTTATTAATGTTGAAAAGAGTTGAGCATAATCCTCTTGAGGTGGCGGAATATTAGTCTGTTGAGGTGTTTGAGAGCCCGATCTATCAAAGCCCGAAAATTTACTCGGTACAGAAAATTGTTGAAGAACACCTTTTAAAGAAAAATAATTTATCTATAATTACCGGAATATGAATGAAAACTTATAGTAAAATAATTACCGATTGAATTACAAATATTTTCAGCTTGCTGTAAAAGTAAAAATATAAAGTTCTATTAATTTCCATTATGAAGAGAACGAAAATTTATTTCACCTGATTCACCATATCTTGAAGTTGAGTTAGTCTATCTGCCATATCTTTGAATTTTATAAATTATTTCAATGTTCTTCCTACTTTGTTTACAAAAATTTGATGTCAGTCAAGGTGTTAGCAACTTCTATTACCGAAATTTTAGTCTAAAAATTTTAGGCATTAATATTTCACTTAAAAATACACCCTTCGGACGAAATTTGTACCGAGCTGACCGAATTCAGTTTTTCATACAAAACAATTCGCAAAATGAGAAAATATCCGACATCAAAAATTTTAGATAAATTGCATAGAGGAGTTGTGTGGACATGCATGGGAGTGACTGCTTATGGAACCTTCTTGATTGGAATGAGAGTCTATCGATACTTTACAGTTGTCAGACCACAGCGTCAATTAGAGGAATTCAAAATGTTGGAGGTAGAGAAATAAATTTTATTTCCTTTAATTTGTTAGATTTAATATCACACTTCAATGTTTCAGGACGAAATAGTCGATAAAGCAAATTTGATTGACAGTGCTCCTAAGCTTCAAAGTTAGTTTATGTTGTATCTTAAAAATATTTAATAATCTTTAATTACAATAAAGTTAGTATTGAACATAAATGACGAGGAATCTTTTAATTATCCGTTATTGTTCATACCACATTGAAAACTCTGAAAGTAAATTTTTAATTGAAAGAAAAACCATTTTGCATCTGCTTTTTCGATATTTGTTTCTTATTTATTTATTTTTATAAAATTTATGTCTCAATTATTAATTGGTTATCAGTTTCTGCTGTAACTAAATTTTCGTCTTAAAAAATCCCTTAGATTTACGTTTCTTTAATCCGTTAGTTGTTTCATGTCAATATTTTATGCATTTTCTTATCAAAATGTCTTGAAAATAATTGAACTGGATAAGAAATAATATAATTCATGTGAAAAGAAAAAAAGGGATTGTAATTTTTTACTGTTAATTCTAACTTTCTGTAGGTAGATAGCATCAAGGTTCGTTGAGTCTAATCACCAAACACAAAAAAGACGAGAAAGAAACCTAAATCTCGAAAATATTTTCATAAATAATTCATTTGTTTGCATTTCTTAAACAATAAAGGAAGTCGAAGAGTCGTACAGCTAATTGCGTTTATAAAAATAAAATTGAATATAGGGTAAATGGCTAGTCTGTGACAGCCTCGAAATCGTCGCCAGTGTGTGACAGTTTTCATTAAATTCTATTTTTAACCTGTTTTCATTTAAAAAGTTACACTGGAAATACGTCTGAATGACAGTTTCAAGTTTCAGCTTTCATTTTGCCTTTTATGTTTGACTGGAATATCATTCTGGTAGTAATAAATAGCTTTGCATTATTACTACCTCTAAAAACATAAGAAAGTGATAAGAGACAAACCGCCAAATGCAAAAAACTTACTCGGTACTTATTAAAATGCTAACATTCAAAGACGCAAAAAAAGTTTGTTTACATTTTGTATGAAAAAAATTTCCTTTTGCGTCTTGTCACACACTAGCCAAGGCATCTTGTCACACACTAGCGAAGCGATGCAAAGGTTGTCACACAACTAGCCAAATTTAGGTTTCGGGAAAAATCTAAATTGAAGATTAATTAAGCAACTTTTCTGAAACTTTAAAAAGCAGAAAGTTGCAATAATAATCAAAGAGTCTGCTGTAGAAATTGCAGACTTTTAGGGCAAGCGGTAGTTGTGCTTTTTCCATTTGTGACCGGAAGCTATTCGTTAAGCGTTATTTTTGTCACAGACTAGCCATTTACCCTACTAATATATTTTCCTCCATGCATATTTTGTTAATTAAATTGTTTTCGATTGCAAATGCAATCACGAGGAGAAAAAAAATAATGATTGGATTCAAATAAGTTAAAATTCAAAGACAGATTAGATATATGTAAAATTTCATGAATGGAGCCGCGCACACTTTTGTTGCTTGCTAATTGATTCATTTTTCACTTATTATTTCTCTAAATACTTTGATGGTTTTTTTTACCAAAGTTAAATCCCTTCACGTAACAAAGCTTTTATTTTTCTAATAGATTATTAATTTTCTTTCCCAATCTTAAGCTTAAAAAGTCATCTTTAATCCAATTAATTCAATTATTTAGCATTTTTAACGTGAATGTTTAACCCTGGTTAATAAATATCTAGAATTGTATAGTAAAAGGAATTTTAGAAATATATTGAATAATTTTTTCTCTTCGTTTTGATTGATGATAGTTACCATTCATTAAAAAAATAATGGAAAGAGAAAGAAAAACATAATGAAAAATGCTCACGTTAGGATTAGGAAACAAATGCGTTGTTGCGTGTACGATGGAAAAACATGAAATAGAAATTATATGTAAAAGAAAGTTCCTTTCTGCGATTCAAATTATAAAAAGACACTAAAGCCCCGCCGATGTTATTGGAAGTCTATAATTGTTTGATGGTGTCGTGTCTCGATATTTTTTCTTCTTCATTTCGTTTTGGAATACAATTGAATGTTTCTACAAAATCTTGCAACGTTTCTTTTTGGCAGGCTCTGGTGGTTCAAGTGCAGCTAGAATTGCTTCATCAAAAACATTCTTCAGCCCTTTCTGAAAGACATAACAAGAAGTTATTAAATATTTTCTTCAATTACACTTGTTAATTATGCAAACCTGTGTCAATGCTGAACATTCAACATATTTGACTGCCTTCAATTCCTTTGCCAATTTTTCGCCTTGTTCCAATGTTATTGGCTTTTGTTTATTTTTTGCCAATTTCTCCAATGTACCATTTTCATCGCGTAAGTCGATCTGAGTACCGACCAGCAAGAACGGTGTTTTCTGACAATGATGTGTGATTTCAGGAACCCACTAAAAGTTTATAAATTTATTATATTTTCTCACATGACTTAAATTAAATTCTCACCTTTTCCTTTACGTTCTCAAATGAGCTTGGACTAACAACAGAAAAACAAACGAGAAAAACGTCTGTTTGAGGATATGAAAGCGGTCGAAGACGATCATAATCTTCCTGGCCTATTAAAATAAACAAAATTACGATTTGAATTCTCATCCGATTCAAAGTTAATAATATAAACAAACCTGCTGTATCAAACAACCCTAGTGTGTATGGCTCACCGCCAATCATAACTGTGACGGCATAATTATCAAACACGGTTGGAACGTATTCCGATGGGAATTTATTTGTTGTGTATGAGATGAGCAAACATGTTTTACCAACGGCACCATCGCCAACAACAACACATTTGATGGTTTGCATTATGCTCTTTTGATTATCTATTGGCCTCACGAATTCTTCTTTAATATGGCTTTCTGTTGCACTTGTCAAAAGGAATCACTTTTATTTTGTCGATGCTAATGTTTTCAGTTTTTTCTAAGCTTTGTTACACGTTTCTAAAACAAATCAGAAAAAACAAAACATCTGAAAATGCAGAGAACAAAATAATTTAAACGATTAGAATTTTGTGTTGGTGATCATGTGGGAGTGCCCCGAGTCGAGTGTGTAGTCGACGGAACATTGAAATTAAGATATATTTAAATTAAATTCAGAGACAATTTTTTTGATCTTCAAGTCGAACTTCCTTCAATGAGAAGAGTTTAGAAAGCATAAAACGATTTCTACGATTTACACAAATTTTGCAAAATATCGAGAGCTTCATGCGTGCATGAATCATCATTTTATCTGCAATCATTAATGATTCTTCACTTTCAAATTGTAATTCATTATAGAATATTTCTATGTTATCTCTGTACCTCATGCTACTCTTAAGAGATATTATGGTATCGGTTTGATTTGATAATCTTTAGTAGAACTGATTAGATTGCTTGATTTCCAGAGAAATTCATTTGCGAAACCCGGATAAATTTTTAGAGGAAAAATTATCGTCTTGAAAATGGGCGTTAAATATTAGTAAATTTGGTTACGCATCAGCTGCTTTTAACAGTTTCCCGATGACTCAATATGCTTATTCACTATCAATACTTAATTATGAACATTTATTGAAAGCATCGAAATATTTCGCTTCTAATGAAATATACTTTCAAGTCATTCGTCAATGATATCACTTTTACTTTGAATTTTTTATGATCCATAAACATTGAAACCTTATTTTAATTCAACTGGTATAGCTTAAACAACTGACATACAAATCCTTTACTTGTTCTAAACTTTCTATACACATAAAACTAATTGTGACTGATAAAACGTGACGTGCATCTCAAATCTTGTCTTTGTTCAGCCATTTTCACGCTACCAAATAGAAATTGTTTTTAAGAATTAATCGAGTATATTCTATATTCACAAATCTTATTTCACTTAAACCGGGTACTTTAAGCTCCAATGAAGGTGATATGTAATCCTTATAACTATTTTATGAGCAATTAATAGCAAAAAACACTTACAACAATATTTTAAGACTTGGATATCTTTCTTATGACAGACCGACACTGAGTTAGCTTAATATGCACTACCTTAATATTTTCGTAACCGTTAAAATTTATGACAGAAATTGAAGGATAAAAGGAGAACATCCTATGATGTAAAAGAAAATAATGACTTCTTATTAATTAGATTATTGAAAATCTAATGTATGTTTTTAATGTAAGTTTCTTAGAATAAGGGAATAAATTTTCGGTTTAATTTTAATTCGAATTCATATGACGAACAAGTTCGAAAGAAGATGATTTTTTCGAGTAGTATGGTGCAACGAATAAAGTAGTATACTTTTCTGAGTCTTTGTCTCTGCTTCAATTTTATGTATTTTGTTCACTCCTTTCATGAATTTTGATCAGAAAAGACGTTTAGTCAGTGAATTGGTGAAATTTAAGGAAAAAACTATTTTAAGAGCCTTTAAATAGGCAAAAACTTGAAGTTTCCGATGATTGTGATAATTCCAAATTGAGCAAAATTCACATTTAGTGAGAAAAATTGTGAAAAAGTCAAGAAAAAGATAATAATTGAAACCTCAAAGAAAAAAAAAGATAAATGAATGTTTAAAGAGTTTTTCATTCAGTTTGTGCAAAAAACGAATTAAAAATATTAAAAGCAATTGTTCATTCAAGTTTAAATGCTTAGTGCTGATAAAAATAATGTTTTAAATATAGCCTGCAGATTGAAAAAATAATTTTTGAATAAAAACCAAACTTGCAACACCAAGAAAAAATTATAATAAAACGTAAGTCTCATTCTCTATTGCTATCCTCTTCTTCCAAACCAAATGGTTTGTCGAATATCAGACTCAAATGAAAATAAAAATGAAAACATACACAAAGAAGATTGAGTAAAAAAGCGAAACAAGAGGAAAGGAAAATTTGGATGATGAAAGTGAATATCCATACTGTATGCTGGAATTATATGAAAGAGAAACAACAACAGCACCTTTTCTAACAGACGTTCATATTAACTTTGTTAAATTCTGTTTTTTTTTTCGTTTAGAATTATAGTTGTTTAGAATACTTTTAGAACCAATTTTTGAGTAAAAACTGCTGATTTATTTTAAGAAGCCAAAACCTCAAAGAGAGAATACAATTTTAAAAACCAGATTTTAATAAAAACAATTGCCAATTATTATCAATTGAAGCGAATATGTTTGAAAACATTTTTATGCATGCTTCTGTGTGTGAATTTTGTTAGCTCAAGGTTATTTTGAAATGAACAGGGTCAAAGGAAATGAAACAAAGAATAACATTGTCTTTTAGCTTAGATATTGACAATTCTTCTGTTGTTTGATGTAATCAGTATTAAAATAATAATTTCCTTCATTTTCGTTTAACTTTGAATATGCATGGCAATAAAGTTGTGACGTTAAAGTTATTGCGTTGAAGTAACAAGAAGAAACCTTTGAAATTATTATTCATCTGCAACTACACCTTGAAATCTAAATAAGCGAAACAGCTTCCGCTCACTATAACTTTGAAACGATCGGGTTATGTCTTTTCTATTCGCATATTTACTGGTTTTAAACTCATTTTGCAAAATACATTTAGATAAATTGGTATATTTTAGCAACATAAAATACGAACGTTCGTTATTATGCTTTAGAAACGAAACTCAAAGTCAAATACAACGAAAGAAAAATAAAAATTCATATAAAAGCGGAATCTTGAGAGATCCTAAGAATCAACTATGACTAAGTACAACTCCGGAAATTCTTTTCTCGATTCTTTTTAACTTCAAAAATATAAGTCGAAAAATAACAAGCATGATCCGATTTGCAAATCAGATAGAATCTCGCGTGCTTTTCAATGTTGGGAAAATTCGAAGAACCAATTTCAAAGAAAAAAAATAGATGGATAGAAAGATATTAAAAATGTAAATTGGATTCACTTTTTTCTATCCTATTTTGGGGATTTTCCATTTGCTTCATGAATTATATATCATAATTTATGGTGAGTTCTATTTTTCATCGGTTCTTTTTCTCCCCCTAAATCAGGTAATCTTGAGACGAAAAAAAAAGAAATGGAAGATTTAATGGCTTATTTTCACAGCTCGCAATTTATCGAAAAAGAAGATTTTAAGATATCTAAGGAAAAAGAAGTTTAATTTTTTTATTGCTGCCGATTTTGCAGAAATCTCCATCAATTGGAATCGTTTCATTCCTTGATTTATATTTGTCTCTATTGTCTATATTGAGTGTAAAGTAAGAAGAAATCTTAACGAATATTCATCATTCGCCTAATCTCACAGAATTTCTACATCAAAATCTCAGAGGAGAGAAAGAAAGAAAAGAAATCAAAAGTGAATAATGGATCATCATCAAGAGACGAAGAGAGATGTGAATCCAAAAAAAGAAAGAAGATGATGAGATTTTCCACGATATTAATTTAAACGTATTCGAAAAGGAGGGAGCAATCACTCCTTATGCTTGATGATCCTATGAAATTTCCATAATAATTAATTCTTATTTTTCTTCAATTCGCATTCAAAGCTGGATAAACCACGTTATTAGATTACTTCATAATGTTCAAACTTTTCCCTCTGTTACACTGTTGTTGATCAATCCATCTTTCAATTCATTTCGTCGCTAAAGTTCACAGATAAATGAAATCCTTTGTCAGCTTTTTCCTCATGGAAAGAGAGGAAGAGGAGTCGAAAATTCGAAATAGGAAGTCACAATCTAATCGACAAAGACACAGCATTCATCCACAAACTCGTAAAATAAACAAATCTTCGAAACGTACACACAGCACATAGAAGGATTGAGAAATGAGTTGGTTTTGTTTGTACCATAAATTCCTTATCAAACCACTCAGTTGAGAAACAACAGAAAAAAGGGATGACACATCAGTCATGACTTTCAAAGTTTTTTTTACATCTGAAATTTTGCACACAAATTCCTCCATTGTGTGTATGTCGTATCCACTTATGTATATGCTGATATCAAAGTAGGGAGAAGGAGGCTGTAAAAATTTCATGTTCTCTTTTTTGTTAAGTTGAACTTCTTTCATGTAAAACTCGTTCTAAGAGGCAACAAAAACGACGAAAATGATGAACTCACTCAAATTGGATTCTTTGAAATACGGGGATTTATTCTTTTGCAAATCAAGCTTTAGCATTCCCATTTAACGCAATAGAAGAAGCGATTTGAAATTCATTGTCATTTAGGAGGTTGATTTAGGCTGATTTGGGTTCAAACATCTACGTATTAAATATCGCTTAATTTCGCAAATTTGCAAGCATTAACTTTTCATATTCCTTTATTCGATAATCAAATGCACAGTGTGGTGGTTTGAATAATTCAATCAATGCTTCAACGCTGATATTGAACGTTCAAGATAGACGATTGAACAGAGATTTTAGATTAGCATAGATTTATGTGACATCACTGTGATTCTATGTAGGGGGAGGTAAAACCTCAATTCATCGCTTGAAATCTAATATGAAAAATGATTTTTCTTTTCTTTTGGAAGTATTTTCATATCTTCCATTCTTTCTCCCTCATGATGACAACGCAAGGCTGACAAAAGAATTGTAGAAAAAATGTTTATAAAAGAAAAATATTGGATATGTTTCTTCTTGTTTATTTCAACAGAAGCAGAAAATTGTTAAGCTTTGGTAGTTTTTACTTTTATTATAATTGGGCAATTCAGCTTACGTTTTTGCGCACGAGGGAAAGCTCCTTACATATTTTTTTTCTTTTTCTCGATTTCTAGATTTCTCGTTTTCTATTTTCCTCCAGACTCCCCCAAATAATGATGAAGACAACGATGAAATAAAATATAAAAAGCGAAAGTTTATTTAATATCATATAACATTTGCCAATCAGATTCTCTTTCTACTTCTGACTTAATTGGCTTGTGATGTTTTTTGCCACCTAGTTTTGATTATTGAGGGGAATGCGTCAGTATGATGATGATGATGAAAAAGTCTGTAAAAAGTAATCGAAAATTTCTTATTGCCTTATCAAATCAACCTTGATTCGATTTTAAACGATTTTGGCAATTGAAAAGTTTTCAACAATAGAACCATTTTTTAAGTCATGGAATGAAAGAAAATTTTATTAAGAAGAGAAGCGTGAAAATGAAAAGAAAATTGTATCTTAAGAAAGTTATGCGACGAAGAAAATCAGGTTTAGTTGAACGTGAAATAAACAAAAAGAAACACATTAGAGCACAAGGAAAACGAGAAACTTCCTCAAGCGAGTTTGCTTACCGCTTCAGCGTTGCTTTCTCGTTTTCGCCTACACCCTCAAAGAAAATCTCCATGATTTTACTATCTTTCGCATGAGTGGCCATAAGGCAAGCAAATACGTTTTTTCTTTTCGAAATAAAAATGCTCGTCTGTGAGGTTGATTCACACTGAGGTGAAGGATGGTTGATTTAAATCGCAGTTCATTGATCTTAATATTTTCTCTTCAATTCCGCTTCACCAGCTATGTTTGCTTGACTTCTTAAAATGGTTATCTTATTATCGTCACTATAGAAGCAATGAAGTTGCGTAATTTGTGTCTTGGAAATGAGTGAAGAAGTCAATCGTAATAAGGTCATTTAATAAAGCTCTGTTAAAAATAAGTTTTATTAAGTTGAAACATGTTGTGACAACGTGACACTGACGATGTAAGAAAGCCTACAATTTTAGTCACACGAAAATAAAAGAAAACTCTTTTGTTTTAGACTTTTTTTTAGTTAAATCGGTCACACTTATCACTCTCGAGAGTGAGAAAACTCATTTAAGATAAAAATCACATCCCACAATACGAGCGTTGCTACTTCTTCTCATATCTGTGATTTTTTTCTCTTACCCGTTTATCTCATTCATTTTAATTCAAGATTAAATGAAAGAAAACTCGTAAATGTCAAAAGAAATTTTCTTTCAGTTTCGCCATCTGCTGTTCTGTTGATGGATTGATTTTCTTGTTAATTTTGCTTCAACCGAGCTCGTTCTCGAATATTTAGTAATGAAATATTCTTCATGCTGAGAATTGGCTGGATTTGAAATTCGCACACTAGAAAGGATTCATTTAGATATTTTTATATTCAAGCTTTCAATTTAATTCTTCAATCACTCTTTTAAAATTTCCATTCTTCGTTTAAATGCGAAATTTTGAAGCGTTGGAATTTCTTTTATTTTCATGAATCAGCTCGAGAAGAAGCTTTTCATGAAGTTTTCACGTTAAATGTCGCAAGCATGCAAAAAGTGAAAAAACTCATCATCAGAGTATGATAAAATCTTTACATTTTACAATTTAATGACTCTTTGTAAGTAAGCGTTGGTTCGCTTTGCCTCGCCTAAACTTCAGCCTTGCGCATGAAAACAACTGCTCATATATGCGTCGAAAAAAAAATGAGGGAAATAAAAAATCGGAAATCATTAAGAATAAGCCTGGAATGAGTCGAGAACATGACACGATACATGCATGCTTAAAGTCTAGTAGATGAAAAAAGAAAAAATCAATAGAAATATGGAAAACGTGAAGGAAAAGGCTTCCACGTCATGTAATTTAGAAACTCATGCTGAGAGTTGTGAGTTATTTATTAAAGTTTAATTCACGTATGTTATGTGTAAGAAAATTACAAAATTGCTTTAAAACATACAAATATTAAATATCTATACGTGAAAATGATCAATAAATCAGTGAGCAGCATAGGAATAAAATTAGCTTAAAAGTTCCTCGATAAGTTGTAAAAGTTTCAACACAATTTGTGATTTCAAAACATGAGTTATTATGAGGCCTTTAGTAGTTTATTATTAACGAGATTTTCCAGGTACCTGGAATAATAAGCGAAAACGCTTTTGACGTGAATAATAAAAGGAAATTTGAATCAAAATTCTCGAATTGAATTTGTTCTACTTATTTTTAACTCCATATTTAGTACGGAAGCAAAGCTGTTGAGGGAAAACAGTTTTTCCAATCTGTAACGCTTCTCTTCTGTGAGTTCATCGTTACAAACAGAGGATAAGAATCTCATGAAAGGAAATAATGCATTGGCTTTCAGTCTTTACAGCTCAAACTGAATGAACATGGTACGCTTGTAAAATTTAACAAGCTCTCGTTGTAAATAAGCGTTTTCTTCATACTCATTCATGTATGTACTTCCTTTACAATACCAAAGAAGTAATTATTGCAGCAAAAGATGAAATTAAGAATAATCCACGTATCGTTGAGTTTTTATAACAACCTCAACTTTTCTTTTTCTCTCTTCCAACATTGACTTCTTCTTGAACAAAGCCAACAACATCATCACGAACATGTGCTCGTTATTATTTCAGCTTTTCGTTTTTTACTCCGAAAAGTAGACAAAAGGATTGTGAGAAAAGAAAAAGGATTAAAATAATTCTTCACTGTTGAAAAGAGAGGAAAAATAAATATGGCAAAGGAAGACAGACTGCTGCTGTATCCATAAAAATTGAAATAACATGCTCCAAAAACAATTCCTCGAATACAAAGAAACAAAAAGCAAAATATCAACAAAAAGGCAACCAACATGAAAACGAGAAATTTATTACAAAATTTTTCTTATTGTTTCTACTTTGAGGATAACTTTTCAAGGTTTTTTGTTTCTGTTTACGTCGTTGAAATAAATCTTGAATCAAATAGAATCGTCTTGTTCTAAATACGCTACGCCACAAGCCTCAACCCAATCACAAAGTTTCTTTTTTACGGTTCTAATTTGTTTTTTCTTTTTATTCGATGTTCTGATGGCTGATAAGAGAAAAAAAAAGTTTGTAGAGACCGAAGCATTAATAGTAATAATGATGGGAAATGGAAACAATCACGAATTTCACTTTGGTCCCTTTTTTTGCTTCGTCATTAAGCAAATTTTCAACTGCAATATTAGATTATTTCTCTCTCTTACCCTTATTTCATGACATTAACTTTATTCTCCTACTTCAAATCGATAATAAAAAGGAAAGTGATACAGAAACGTTAGTTTCGAATTTCGTCCAAAATTGCAAATTGATGTGAATGGAAATAATTTTCATTAAATGATGCGATACTGAAGATATCCTTGGAGATGTGAAAATTTAAATAACGATGAAAAATAAAACGAACACCGGAGCACGCTTAATCAGTTTATTTTTCACAATTTCCAAAATAAATTTTATCAGAAATTCTGGAAATAAGTATTTGAAGAAAATTTCTGAAAGTAAAATTTTGTAATCTTCACTGAAAAAATATAACAAACGGTGTAAGCTTCTGGAAATAAATTTCATGATATTAATCATGTCGCTAGCAAAAAAAAAAGCTCAGATATCTTTTTTACACTTGGTTTGGTTCATCGAAAACTGCTGTAAGGAAAGTTTTCACGTTAAAATATTTTCGGATCAGGTGATAAAGTGAACAGGAAAAAAAGAAGTTTCGCAAGGGTTTAAATAACAACCCTAAGCGCAACGTGTTCGATAAATTGAAGCCCAAAGCTATTTTATTGATTGAATGCCGATGTCGATGTGATTATAAAAATCGTACGAGCACATTAATATTTCGGATTCAGCTGGCATACCAAGCCATTCCCATTTTTCATATTATCCTGTTATAAATCTATTAACACATTCGCGATAGTGATAAATGTTTTCTACATATCCGACATTATTTGTTTCTGTGTTCGAGTTCAAGCTCTGAAGTTAATTTCATGATTCAAAAAGTCATTTTTTTGCCATGTTGTAAGGAGAATTTGAAGTCTCATCAACTTGTCACATAAAATGAGCCCATAAAATACATTATGCCATCCTTTTAAGCTTAACGAGTTGTTAGAGCTCTTTTTTGATGTGTTTTTCCTTAAAATGTTGCAAAGCCACAGTCAAGAAACAAACTCATTTACTTGTAATCTTATTATTATAATTATTCTACTTGAGATCCGTTCAGAGGAGAAAACGAGCGAATTTCTTTTCCATCCTTTCTTCTTGATTTTCTTTGAACTCATCATCGTAACCATCAATACCTAATTAAGGGTTGAAAGACTAGAAACGAGGAAATCATGAAGAAAAGAAGACAATTAATTGTTCCACAAACTAAATTCCTACCTGACTTACTTCTAGAGATTCATTTCGAGACATTAAATTTTTAAATAAATTAATAATCGCATTGGTAAGTCGCACAGTTCTACGCCAGCAAACACAGCTGGAATAAAAAATTACAATTTTCAATTTAAACGAGTCAGTTGTAACAAATTCCCATGATGAAATCGAGAACCGACTGCGAAATGGTCACGCTGGTCCCTTCAAATGACGCTGAAATTGAACATTAATTCCAAAACAACTCGTCTGCGAATGGGGTGCATAAATAAAATGGAAAACTTATTATCAAATAAATATTTATGGTTTTGTCGTTTTACGCCAAATATCCTTAACTAAATATGTATAAGAAAACTTAACAAAATATTTTTATTGCCTTTTTTCTCGCGATTTTTTTCTGTTAGTCATTTGCGATTAAGAATGAAAGAAAATGTTCAACAAGAGAATTCATATCTGAAGAATTCAGGAGAATAAAATCGATTAAATTGCTAAATGGTTAATGGTTATGGGTGTGCTTTTGAATTGAGACCATTATCGTTGCTGCCGTTATATTCTAACATCCCCACTGCTGCTGTCCGATTTATACATTTCTTAATGCGAAGTTCAATGATATCCATATAGACTTATGAATAAAAAAGGAAAGCATTGAAAACGAGGCTGGAAGTTTGTAAATTAACGATAACTTTCAGGGTTGAAATGGTGCCTTAATCGGTAGTGGTTTGAGAAAGGTCTGTTAGCTAATTTATGTATAAAAATTAAGAGAAAAATATTAACGAATAGAGCTTGGGTACACACATGGATTTAATTGGATATTCAGAAATGAATTTTTCATATCCAAATGCTATACAAAACGAAACGAATAGAAGAGAAAAAAAGTCGAAAAATAAAATGAAGGTGTTGGGTCGATGAACATTACGGCTGCCTACAAGGACATGTTGTCATTTTACGTTAATGTTTAGAATAGTCTGTTAAGAATCAACAGTACTCCTTGATGTGTTTGAATTATCATATTTTTCTAATAAACCTTGTTAATTGAAGTTTCCGCATTTGCGCATGATGTGCCATGCTTCATGAATGTGCTTATGAGACCTTTGGGATATTTTTTTGACAATGTGAACGTGTTCAAATGAATAATTTTTACCATGACCACAGAGCTCTAAAGAGCTTTATATCAAATTCTTCCAAATCCGTTGAGAAGAGCTGGTATGTAAAGCATCATGTCTCATAGCCATTTTGTAATCTATCCGATTATAGCGAGTTATTCATAACCGTATCTAATGTGGAAACATAAAAGCTTTCCTTCTTTCTTGATTTTTATCAAAGTACCGATTATCACACAGCAAACGATTTTTGAGCCTTTAATATAATTTTAATTCTATGAAGCTTTACAAATAATTTACTTTGTAAGAGAGAACATTAAAAAATGTTCAACGCTCTCCAAACAACAAATCATTTCTCGGTGCTTTAGAAGAGATCATCCCCAGAAATTTAATTTACCCTGGAAAATGTTCAAGTTTCGAATAAAGCTTATCGAAGATTCACACAAGAGAATTATTAAATTTCCTCTTCCGTCCCATCGCATAAATTTAATAATTTTTTTCTTTTTTGCTTTTGAGTCTCCACGTTTTCTTAAAAAAAAGTTTTTCTTTCTACCTTGGAATGGAATAATTATAAATGTTTGAACTTCAAAGAGTATATTAGAGAGATGACATGATAGCTGAGTTTATTAGTTAATGTACATGGAAGTGGAATTCAAATTTAAACTAATTATTAACTTACCGTAAGCGACATAAAGCGATATTTAATGTAAATAATTTATTATTATTTCTATCTTTTCACTAAGCTGAGTTTCACGGCACAAGAAACTTAATTTATTGTTAAATTTCCATAAAATAAATTTCTAAATTACTTCGCTTTGCCATCAGCCTAGTTTATAACTCGTGAATTATGTGACGTTATTTGACGTCATTTGAAGCGTTAAATCTACGGCCCTTAACATTGAAACTTTTTTTCCTGTTTATCTGCACACGGACAGTTTTTATTCATTTTTAACATAAATTATTCTCAAATGTGATGAAATTTCCTCCTCATATTCGACAGAGGATATGACGATTAATTAATCTCGTGACGAATCAAATGAAGCCGAGCATTAAGGTATATGCGACGTTCTCAGATACGACATGTATGAATAAATTCTCACAAGGATTTATTGAGACACTTTGTCACGTAGTGAATCTTTCGGGTGTATGTGATAAATAATAAATAATTCTAGATTTAAATTTCTTTTAACTACGCAATCATTCAACATTTACATTTCTCCCATTTATCCAACATTTTTCATTTCCATTTGAAATATGCTGAGTGTTTCTTTTGTGTCGCGTTTTCTGGCACTCGAGTTAAATTTAAATTTTAATAAATCACGCGCGCAACAACCAATCGAGTTGTGTAAAGAAAGCAAACACACAAGAATATCAGTTTTAAGTATGGCAACGTTGCTTAAGCAAGGTAAGAATTCGAAGGTGCGATAGAAATTTGTCGTTGAGCGGAAAACGTGCATAAAGAGCTTATGTTTTATTTTTGTGTAGAATTGTATGAATTGAGTGAAGCAAGACTGACTTTGTTTGAAATTTATGATCGCATGTGAAGCTCCCTATGTTTCTTTCCCTCCACACATTCGAACTGAACACAAATACGACTCTGTTTGATAAAAACGAATGAGTGAATTATTCAGAATTTTAAATGAATAGTTTATATTACTTCGAATGTAATGCGAACTCGGACGTGGCAGTAAATTTGCATTTTCAGTGTGTTATGCGCAACCACCGCGAATGAAAGAAATGAAATAATGTTGTTTACTGATAGCATAAGCTTTGTTCAACTCAGAATGTTGAAATGTCACAGTCACAGCTTCCAAAGTGTTCTTCATAATTTATTTCTCTGTTTCAAACTGAATTTGACTTTTCCTTTCGGAATCATAAAACATTTCATTTAAAATTCCCATTTGAATAAAAGCATATTGCTTTTCAGTGTTGGAATTCAAAAATTACTTCCTGCTTTGAAGCACGACCGCAGCTTCTACAGCAAAAATCATTTTTTCTAACAATTCAAATTCGACTTTAGATTTGCCGCGTCTCATTACATTGTGTAGGCTGAGAATGCAAATGAAGGAAAAGCTATTTTATCCAATTCTGAATAAGTCATGAGACTCCTTAATCTCTTTCAATCGTTTTACTTAAATGAAAATACTTCCAGAGATTTAAACACGACTAAACGCAAGTGAGGTTAAAGAGAGATTATGGGAAAGTTTTTTATTCTGTTCCCTGCATTGCTTAATCTAAAATGATAATCAATTAATATATTCTCTTCACTATGATCCTTTTATATCCTTGAGTGAATAACTTCTACATGTATGTCTTGAACACGTTCTATCATTCATAGTACGAACGCGCTCAATTTTCTATGTTTTATGCTTACAGAATTTTCTGCTTCCACAAGGATGAAAATAAAAACTTTTATCTGTCCAATGTTAGTCGCTTCAGTTTGGATGCTTTCATTCGTAAATATTTTTATATTTCTCGAATTTTTTTCCACATTTTATAAATTAAAGAGAAAAAAGAATCGTTGAGATTAACGCCGGGAATTCACGAATTGCATATATGGCAACAATGACCATGCATTTGGTTTATAAATATGTTCGACCCACACTTCCTTCTCATCTTATCTGTCTCTCTTTTTTACCCTTCTGGCCTTCTCCTTTCTTATCAAGTTTTCTCAGTGATTTACTGCAAATGGTTATGTTTGCGATGTGAGTTGGGAATTAATGATATCCTCGTCGATACTTCGCCACTGACGCTTCTCCGTAACCCAATCTGTGATGTTTCTGTTTTATGGTTATGTGAAGTATGTCGGGTCAAATATCTGTTTATTTATGAGCATAAAAAAGGGGTTTTGTCTTTATCAACTGAAATTTATTTTATTCATTTTTAATTACCATCATTTTACTCAAAACGATCTTATACTGTCGGTAATTATGCATATTTTATATGAAGTTGTTCATTAATAATTCAACTTATTCATATTTTAAAATTCACAATCTTCGAACCAAAGTTGGTATTTATTGATGCGTTTTATATTTTATACTCGAGGTCGAAGCTTCCGATATACATAAACATTTTCAACTCAATGTTTTGCGGTATTTCCGATGATATTGCAAAGAGATTTATTGAAGTACATAAAAGCTTTTTTCCTCCCTCATTTCTTTTATATAAAAGTACTTCACGGCTCTTGCACGAGATTGAATCATTTCATCGTTTGTGCACAAGAGTATTAACAATGAAAAAGTGGAAAATTTAATTTCGTCATTCGACACAATCGCTAATGGTAATACTTCATGTCCCTGCTTCAATTTTTCGAGTGATATTTTATTTATGAAAAGCTTCATCATTAAAATCATCCAAATTTTCACAATTTCAAATAATAGAACCATGCAGAAAGGAAAAATATAAATGAAAGCACAGTTTTTTTGTAGCTTAACAATATTCTACCAGCCAAACAGCTCCAACATAAGCAAAAACTTTAAATTGCTTCTTTAAATTAAACCACATTTTATGTTGAGCGGGAGCATAATTAACATCAATTTCTTATCGTTTACTGCACTCGAAAAACGTTTAGGATGTTTAAGTAAAAGCTGAAATGATTTAATTTTCAATTTATTTAATGAGCTAGAAATGAAAAATTGATTTGATGGTAACAAGGATTCATGGTTGAAAGAGAACGGAAATTAAGTTCATTATAGAAAAAGAAAGATATCAAAAATGATTCATGTTTAATAACGTTTTGTTAGCAACAAAAGATAAGATAATAAAACCATTACATTTTCAATGTTTTCATCGTACAACATAATGCGGGTGGACAACATTGTAATTGAACGAATCTTACATGGATCAAGTTGAGCTAACAAAAGGCTGAAAAATTTCCATGCAAATTTGAAATGCGAAAGGAAAATGAGTAGAAAAACTAAATTTACATAAATACAAGAAAAATCAGGCACTCAACGTGCTGATTTTATAAATTTTCTATCGAAGACCGTAATTAAATTCACGTATTACATTGTAAAAAAACGTTTCAACTCTTCGCTTATCGTTAAAATATCATGCACAACCACCCACTAAAAGGGTCAGCTTATAAAAACGAGTATAAATTATAAAATTTTATAAACAATGCGAAAGTTTTCTAAAATACGACTCATTGAAATTAAACGCTCAACAACTTCCATGGATCGATAAAGAAAAATGATTTAAAACTTTGAATGCATGGACTCAATAAATTTTTACCTTTTTCTGTTCGTGTTATTTTGCAAGTTGAACTGCAAGTTGTTCACTCACGCTTGCTTGACGTTACATAAAAATGTAAAATTTATTACATGAGGTAAATAAGCTAAAGTATCAAATTGCATTTTATACTCTTCACTCGTTCTCACCTAATACTTACCGCTGTTGTTGTTTTGTTGTAAAACTGAATTTAAAAACAGTCGAATATGAAAACAGGAATAATATTTAATAACCTTTATAATCTGTTAAAGGATTAAAATTTTGATATTTTCTGTAATCCATTCTTAACGCTTGTCGTCGGATGGAAAATTGTAATCTCTGAGTCTCTGAACAATTCCTATCTGCGCAATATTTGAGAATATAATCACTCGTAATGACACTTGAAAAACAAAATCGCAATAAGTGGAAAATTACAACAATTTCTGAGAGAGATTAATTAACATTTCGTGACAACATCAACGAAGAAAAAAAAAAGCTCAGATTTCAACTTTTTTTTAAATTTCCCGGTTTCTAACTTCTTTTTTCATTTTGTTCTATTTAATTTCTTTCATAAATATTAATGGGACAACGACTGAAAATCCTACCGCTTTTCACAAACCATAAATTTTTTTTCTCGTCGTCCTCTGAGTTTTTAGGTTACATTCGTTAATCATTTGGAACGGATAATGAAGATTTTACTTTTAAACTTATCAGTTGATTATTGTAGCGAATTTTCCTCTTCCCTTTTTTTATTCTTCGTTTCCTTCAGCTCAATAATTAATTCGGCAATGATCTGTAAATTGAAAAATTGTGTAGTCAGGAAATGTTGGGATTTTCTCAAATAGTGTCACTTCTCGTTATTCGTTCTGCTATCCATTGATGAGCTTCTGGGGCAGAAATTCGAGATAATGATAAATAAATGACATACAGTTGATTCGAAATAATATCTCATGATTTCATTCATAGAGATTTTGCTGAATCTATTAAACAGATTAGAAGCAATGTATTTGGCAGATTTGGAGGGAAAAAAGTCTGAAAATGAATCGATTTAAGAGAATTGAATGAAATGAATGTGTGTATGTAGCATTTAGCAATGAAACGAAAGATAGCCAGCCCTTGATGATGGATTGAATTCGTATTGCTAATGACATCCGAATGTCAGATGAGCTGTAAGTGGTTCTATTCATTCTGAATGTCTTATGAATGAAGCAAAGAAATCTTCCATTTGTCAACGGCTGAAGCTTAAAGCTTTAATAATCAAGAGCGCACCTAATGTAAAAAGTTGCCTAGAGGTGAACACAATTTGCGTCATTTTATGTTCTTGAATGTTTTATTTTTAAATAAGCTCACAATTCCATTTAATTGCTTGTATTTACTGAAGCCTAAACAAATTACTTGTTACGAAAGAAGTTTATGGAGCAGGAATCTTAAAAAAAGTTAATGAAGGAATTGCAAAATTAAAATTAAATAAAGTCTCAAATGTAAGTTTGTATTTGGTTTCATCAAGAGTCAATATTTTAATTTACAAAGAATAAAAAAAGGAAACCGAGTTGATTCTGAAGTTTACACAACCCAGCTTTCGCTTTCAAGCAGAAAAAAAACCGAGAAATGAAAAAAAAAGTTAAATGAATGTTATGTAAATTGTGAATAAGAAAACAAATGTTGAAAGTCCTTGAATGGTATCAGTTGATGATAACGTAAGCAACTTGAATTTCAAAACTGCCGCAATCACTCGATTTACGAGTTTGCTCAATTCATTAGTAAGCTTTTTTTTCGAATTTGAATTGGCAATTTGAAATCATTAGCAATCAACATTTTTCATTTATTTATCGACCCAAAGGACGATTTCCTGCAGCTTTATCAGCAGAAGATGAAGCTGAATTTTAATTCGAATACATTGTTATTCAATTCTCATGCTACGCAATAGATTAAGATTGGATACTTAAATATTTACGAATTTCCTAATCAATTTCAAATGGACTCACCGATTCAATGAGCCTTCATTAATTCATTGTTATGAAATAACATCTGAGTTGTTCAGGCAAGCAAATAATGAAAGCTTATGTTAAAGAAATGCTGTGGGCGATCTGAGAGAAGGTTATTTTGTTGAATCCCCAAGTTGAAGCAAACGTTCACTTGAAAAATTGATGAAGCAACTCTTCAACCTTTAATCTTCTTGGCAAGAACTTCTTGCTCCTTAATTGTTTAGCAAGATCATTAAAACACTTCTTCAGTGTCTGTTTAATGAATGAGATAACAAAATATTTTTATCTCTGCTTGTTAAAGACTCATCAATGTGTATCGAGCACAAAAAAGAAACGAACGAAATTGGGTCTCATATGTTCACATGTCTACTCGAAAACGATAAAGAAATAAAACAAAAATCAATTTCGTTGACACATAAATAAAATTATATAATGTGTTGATACATTTGAGTTTTTTTTAGAAATGGTGCAAAACATGTCATTTAATAAAACATAACAACTTGAATATCTTTCATGATTTTACAATCTAACTCAGCTGGGAATTTCAGAAAACTTTGACTTTTTGGATGTTCCTAACATGACACTTTTTGATTTCTTACTGCCATCGCAAAAACTTTTATGAACTTTAGTGAGTTCTCAATTCAGACGAAATTCGTCATTAAAAATCATCGATCGATTTCAGGGTGGAACGCGATTAAACCTTAACAAAACATTTAATGTGTTATCAAAACGTTTCGACAAAGCTTTTTGCTTTAATAATGTTTCCAGTGAATGATTAATGTAGACTTTAGACATGCCCGTCATATCTACATCATTCCATTGTTGTGGGTATTAGGAGAGGTTTTTACTCGGTTAACGCAGCCCCAAAAATAAAACCGATTCTTCCGTTCGAATTAGCTGCGGCAAAAGATAATTTTTTTATTTTTGTATAATTTTTTATTTTTTCGTTTCATCGATTTTGATTGTTTCCTTGCAATGGTTTCGAGGTTCAAGGATGTTTGAGGCGATAAAAATTTACCGCCTGTAGCGCTTTTGATTTGTGTTGAATGTCTACAATTTACACAACCAAATTAAAATAGATTTTCATACAATATCGTTACCTCGCTACGAGTCATTGAAAAATGTTTCATTTTAACAACACACGAATACGAATGTGAACTTTCAATTGAATCAATATCAGAACTCAAACGTTCAATCAATGTGTGCTTAATAATTGTTGGATATTTTTTTATTATCAGGCAGGATGTGGAATGCAGAGTTGAGTTCACCATGCGATAGCATTGTACTAAAATTTATTTACTCATCGCTCAATGACAAGAATTCTACAGAAAATAAACGAAATACTCGGCACAGCCCGAAAAAAAGAAATATTTAATATTAAAACGAGTTTGATTATACGTGTAGAAGGCAAGTTTCAGACGAATTTTACGGCAACAATAATGAAACACAAAACAGAGCATGAAAATAAAAACAGCTGTGCGAATAAGAAAAAGAGGCATAGTAGAGTCAAGGCAAAACAAAATAAAAAGATATTTCCTTCTTCTTCATCATCTGATGATCTCAAACGAAAGTCGTTGTCGTTCGTTAAACTAGTTTTTGTTTTCCCTTTGTTTGTTTTTGTCTGTTGTCGATTCAGTTGGATGGATTGACTTGATTTTGGTGTGACACACACCCGATTTATATTTTCTAACTTTATTTTTAACCACTGAAATTAAATATGAAGAGAGGAACTAAAACTTTAGGATAATAATAGTCATAGTAGCTTTAAATAAAAACGACACGTTAAATGTTTTGGCACCTTGTGAATTTTTTTTTTGTTTTATTTTCAAGTCAATGTTACGCGTGTTATTAGATGAAAAGATTTGCTAATTTCATTCTATTAAGTTAAATTTTTGTCGAGTTACATTTTCACTCTAAGAAACAATTTACATTTTCCGTCTTCTCCCACGAATAGTTTCGTTTCATCATTCCATGTTTATTTGATCAATAACACTCACGATGCAATTCACAAATGTATTTATACTTATTCACAAAGATATTTATTGTGCATGTATCCACTCCCTTCTTTTCTCTAGGGTTGCAGCATGCATCCATTCGTATCGGTTTCTTCAGCCGTTTCCTTTATATTCATTCAGTTGCAACTTGCAATGCATTTGAAATGCTTAGTGCCATATGGTTGATGAAAAATGTTTCGCTATTTGAAACATCTTGCATCATGCAGGAGCTTGAAATGGGTTACGTTCTAAATAACGATAGAATAGAATGACATGAAAGAAATAATCTTTGTGAGAAAATCTTGCTTCGTTCAGGACTTTGTCAGCATTCTTAAATGATTTCTACTTGTACTGGGTTTTCCATGATTTTTGAAGAAATTTATTAACTTATGCTGCAAATTTTCCTTATTGTAACGAATATTTCGAATTCGAAGCTCAAAATGTTGCATAAATTGATCAAGGTACGAATTTTTGTAGTCTCAATAATTATTAAAGTTTTCTTTAACTTGAAACTTGCGAAATTTAACAAGATTCAAAGTGAAGTCATGTAGATAGCGAGAAGTAATATCACAAATAAAAAGAGCAGCAAAATGTGGAATTTTAGTTTAATGTGAATTGAATATTTCTACGTAAAACTAAAAGCAAATTTTCTCATCTCCCACTACTTTTTAACCTTCTTATACAATGTAGCAGTTGCATGTTGCATGCAACTCAAAGCAGCTATTCAATTCGTTCATCATAAAACAATATATCAAAAAGAGAAAAAAAAGTTGAGTGCATTGCATTACAGGTTTTATGAAGCTCACTTGAGCAAGCAAAGTTTGGAAAGGTGATGTGATGTAGAAATGAAATTAGTTCTACTTTGTCAAGAATCACGAACAATAAGTAAATGTATCTAAATATATGAAAATCGATAATTATCATTTATTTTCTAACATTTTACACGACATTTTTTTTGTTCATTTTAACTAAATACCACATACAGTGTTTAAATCTTTAACATTGAATTTCTTGGATAAAAAGAAACCAATACTTTTGTCTTATTTTGCCACCATTCAACTGTACGTTATTGAATAAAAAAAATTTCATCTTGGGACAACAATATAAATTGATTTACAATGATTTACATTAAAAAAATGCGAAGATTAATTTGTGAAATTCCGAGCGACGTTGCCAGTTTTCACTCAAAAAATTATTCAAATGTTCAACGTTTGTAAATTAACAAGAAATCTCTTTAATTAAATCTTTGAAATGACTCAGAAATTTTCCCTCTTAGACGTGCCAACTTATTAGTCTTTTTTACAATTTCTCATCAGTTTCATTTACTTCTTGAGCTTTCATTCTGTCGTAATAAGTTTTTTCCTTGGTTTCCAACCCTTGAGCTTAAATTTATTCAATAAAATCGTATTAGAGGAAAAAAAAACATGAAATGAAACGGAAGTTCTAACAATAAATAAGATGGAATTTCCATAAGCATATATATTAAGTAGAAGTAATTGAATATAGTAGAAGTCCTACAAGTCTCTAATGAAAAATCCAGTTTCGAGTGGAGTTTACTTAAACAATTGATTTGTCTAGCGAACTTTTATCTATGTACATAGGCAATGAAAGAATAAAAAAAATGTTCAATTTTCAGTCATCGTCATTACTGCCTTCTCATGAAACTAATCTCGAAACTATTTCCACTAAAGAAAAACGAAATGAGGCATTTTGTTTTTGTGTTACAAGCAATTTTTTCTCGCAAAATTGAAATAATCCAATAACAACGCAGCAACAAGGAAAGTTTCGCATAAACCATCCCAAGTTCCTTTGCTGCTTTCTCAGCTCTTTAAGGATAAGAAAATCGTTTAAAGTTTATTTGTCGACAATTGTGATTCATCGCACGTTCACTAAAAGGATTTCACAACTTTCACAAGTCATTCTAAGAGAAAAAAATCCTCGACATTTTCGCTATCCAGTTTCTTAACTCAACGGCTAAGCTTTCTGAATTTATTTTTTATTGACTTTTGATGGACGGGGTTGAGAAGGAATGTGACGGTTACGGTTACGGTTCAAAGGTGTCGTTAGTCGAACACTTTATGCTTGAAGAATGTTGAGTGCTTAAGATTTACTCTCGTGAAAAGAATCAAAATCACATTTTTATGTCAACTTATGAAGACAAACATTAAAGTTGGGTTTTGTGATTTATTGCTTTTAATAAAAAACCAAATCAAATGGGAGTTTGTTTGTTTGTTTGCTTTTTTGCAAATATCTAAGATCCAAAAGAAATAATGATAATAGAATGGCATCGCTTTAGGCAATCGAAAATTTGAAAATGATTATTTCTAGCGCTTGAAGGAAGATTTTGTTATATTATTGTCTTTTCCAAACAATGTTTTATGTGCATCACCAGCAGATAAATTTTTAGTTAAACATTTAACTTGCTGAGTTTTCCACCATGTTTGAATGTCCTACGATTTTTCATGGCTTAAAGATGTTGATAAAGAAGAGCGAGTGGGACACAAAAAAAGGACTTTCAAATCTGTCGCAGTCATTGAAAGAGATTTTTCTGCGAGATGAATCCTACGGATAAAAAAAGGACGAAAAAAAAGGGTCAGAGGCAAAGAATAATTTTTATAAAGTTAGAATTTTCAACCGACACTTGGCTTAAAAGGCAATCGAAAAATTTTCTTTTTCTTAATATCTACTACCGATTTCAAGAAAAGTTAACTTTTCTTAGGCAGAAACATGAAAAAAGATTTGTTTAGCTAACTTCTTTCTTATTCTCAATTCACTTCACTTGCGGTGTATTTCCATAAATTACGCAATGGAGCGTAGAAATTGAAACGACAAATAAATCTCTGCAGTCATCTGGCCGTGACGAAATGAAGATAAACTCAAAAAATTCGACATGGAAAAGTTGTTCTTAAGTAAATGTTGAATTTTTCATGGTTTTAAAAGTTTTTTTTTCACTGTCAATTACAGAGGCCATAGCCCGTGAGAGCTAAATCTGAGCCCTAAAAAATGTTCATGGAAAACTTTGCGAAAGAAAAAATTGCATTGAAGTTTATGCTTTGTAGCTTTCCTGCTTTTTGTATTCAGTTGATTGCTCTTAAAAATCCCTTGAGAATTTAATTTTCATTGTCTGAGGAATGAAAATTTCAATTATGAAAAACACGTTTAATCAGATTTGTAGTTAAAAATCGTTCTTCAAAACTAACGTTGCATGAAAATCGTTTTTTGCTTTCCATTAACTTTTCTATTAAATATTAACCACATCCTGTGAGTGAATCATTTACATTTAAGCATCTTTCACTTTTAAATTTGCTTACTTTTGTAAGTTGTTAGGTAAAAAGAACTCACACAGAAATATTAAAAGCTTCTTACATGCTCGTAAGATCTATCCAAGTTTCTTCGACCAGAAAAACATAAAAAGATATAAATTTGAATAATCAATCGAAAGCAGTTCCCAGAATATGTGATGATAAGCATGAGATGGGTTGGTTGCTTTAAAACTCAAAAAGGGATAAAACTGTTTGAAGAAAATAAAAGTTGACACATTTCTCTTACATATCTTAAGGGAAAGGTGAATTTTTGAATTGGGTTTGCTTCGTTGCTTGAAATCCAATCGTATGTATTATTCCAACTTATGTAATGCGTGTATAGTTGACATTGACAAATAAACATTTTGAATAAATAAACATGACGTTTTGTAGCTTCAGGTTTTTGCAAGGTGTATAAGTGTTGAAAATCCTTCCACCGATTTAGATTTTATCAACTTTGACAAGTTTTTCCGATATTCAATTGTCTTCTGATGATACCCTCAGGGAAGCGGAAGAGAAAAACGACAATGATAAAGATTTCTTTGCACACTTTCTCTCGATTGTGCTTCTAAATTTTCTTCCTGATATCAATCAATGCGAATTTACATAAATCGAAACAAATTTGTTACACACTTGATAAGGAAGGAAAGTTCTTTTGTTGAATGGGTTCAAGTAGAAGGCATTTGAGAACCTTCTTCATAGTTGAACAAACTTTACATTTATGAATTTCACTCAAGGCTTGTAGTAAGAAACATTAATAGTTGCAAAGTTTGCTGTTCACTTCAAAAATTGATCCTTTAAGATGGTCTATAATTATAAATATTTAAATATTCTAATGGAACAATCAACTTCAATATCAAATATGCTGATTGCAGTTGTTTACGAAAACTTCTTGACAAAATATAAAGAAATTATGATTGTAATTGATTTTTTTTCTTTCGAACGATGAAAGAAAAGTTTTAAGGATTCATGGAAATCCTATTTATGCAAAATAATTTACATAAATAAAATATCAGCGTTGAAAAAATAATAATAATAAGCTATGTTATAACTGTGAGTTGAGAAGCAAAACTTGAATAAGATTCAAACTTGTTCAAAGTTTCTTTATTATTATTGAATTGTAGAAAGTTTCTGTTCTCTCTTGAAAACTTCAGATTAACTTTAAGAAGCAGTGAAGCGTTTTCTGAGTGTCTGAAAGATAAAGAATCTACTAAAAACTATTTTCCGAAGATATATTTTCAAAGTTTATCCTTTTTCTCACTTGTTTTCAGAAGATACATCTGAGTGGTGTGAGCAGTCGTTTATTGAAATAGGAAATAAAGGCCAATAGGCGTTGAGATAAGAGAAAAAGTTTCTAAATTGGGAAATGAATCAGAATCATACAATTACAATGAACTCTCAACAAATGCAAAGACGTCCTTACATCAACTCAAGAGGTGGTGCAATATCGCGCAACATGAATCACCGACTACAGCGATTTGGACAACAACAACAGTCTCATCACAATCATCGTGGAAACGGAGGAAATGGTAACAACCAGAACAAGGATCTCATAGATTGCTTCAATAGCAACAACAACTCTCATGGGTGAGTTCATTGGTGTTTCGAAAGCATAAATATGTTTCATATCTTAATCTTAGTATTTACATAAAACATATTTTTATATGACAAATTGTGCATTTTGGCTAAGGCGCTCAACATTTAATTTAGTTCTGATTTACTATCCACCGATATTGAATTTTAACTTTGTATCTTAGAACAATGTTTTTAACTGTAAACATATTTTATTTAAGAGTTTTAAGAGAGTCAGTGACATATTGTTTTGTTAACTTGTGAAGGGAAGAAGCAAGGGAATGTATGATTTGGCTTTGTTAACTTTTATTTAGTGAATTAAGTAGATTAACCCATTAAGTCATTCATATGTTGAAAGCACTGCTGTTGAATTGGATTTTCTTCTCTGTAAAAATTGACTTTTAATGACTGAATGTTTGGGTTTATTTTGTCCTTTCCTTAGTTTAATTGTTAATTTAAAATTGAATGACATTCATCGCTTTAAATGTTAATTTTTCGTAATAACTGGTGACAAAACAAAAAGTTCATCAAAACTTTCATATTTTTTAATTTCTTCGCCCACTTTTAACATCTTGTTAAGAACAATGAGTCATAGAAAAGTTTTAAATCTTTATTCTTATTTCTACAAATAACAATAAAGCTTTCCATTTAATTAACTTATCTCATCGTTTGCTCCTTCGACTCCATACCCACAATATGTATTTTGTTTGCAAATTTCATTGTATTCACAATATATGGCACATACTGTGGTTTGTTTTTATTTCTTTCAAGCATTATAAATATTCAAATTAGCATTCGCTGCATTATGTAACCCAAACGTACTGCTTTTAACAGTTTTATGCTTCAATCTTGATTCAAGATGGAAATTGCATAATTTTTTTTTGTTTCATTTAATCTTTTCTAATCGTTTACGCTAAAAGTTTCCACATTCTAAAGCAATTTTATATATTTTTTCCTTCTCCTCTCGGCCAAACTGTTATCGCTTCAATGAAACTTTTTTTCCGAAACTTTGAAACTGCAGTGTGGAATGAGTGACCTCTCGTGTATATGAGCAAGAAATGAAAGCATAATGAATTTTTACGACTATTGTTTCCCATCTATTGTTGTCCAGTCTCCGTTTTTTTTCTGTTTTTCTTTCTTTCGTTTTTTTCTTTTCTGGTTCTGATATCAGGGACGAAGAGACGCTTGAATATTTTAAGCAATAGGAATATTTTACGAGTTTTCCATCTTTTCGTGTTTTTCCTTTTTATATTCACTGTCTGATAACAAGCATAAAATGTAAGAAATTTCCTGAAAAAACATAATCCTCTCCTATAACTGAAGATTTTTTCACTTCCTCCTCGATATCGTAAATTTTTCCAATGGAGATTTGTGAAATTTGTTCTTTTTTTATGTATTCGTGTCGTGGGCAGTTGAACGCTTGAGATGTTAAAAGAAAGCTTCCTAGCAACTCCCTTGAATACTGAAATTATTTTTATTATATTTTCACTTTTTTCTTTCTGTTTTCTTCTTGATTTACCTTCCTAACTTTTCTACCTTTCGCTCTCTCTTTTCTTCATGAGTTGACATAGCAATAAATAGACTGAAAACATTTTAAATTGATACTTAGAGATGAAAAGAGTGTTTATGTATCATGAGGTGGGGCGCAAGGAGAAGCAAGATAGCATTCAAACGAATGATGATTAAATTACAAATTCTTTGAGTGCAAATTTTCTTGCTTTTTCTCGTAATTTTCCCAGTAAAGCACAAAACTGCTGGAAACGCTTGTAGCATAAATCCTAATCAACAAAAGCAATCACTGAATGTTTGTTCTTTGTATCTCTTGATGGAAAAGTTTTTAATTTCACTGTAGCTATTGACATTACATTAGTTTTGTGCTGGCTGGGAGAAAGCTTTTTTTAATTAAAATATTCATATTTGAAATAAGTGATAAACCTTGGATGATGTAAAAGGAAAAAATTATTAATTTTTATTTGTTTAATTACAGCATTTTACAATTTTACTCTATTTAGCATATGCAAAAACTAAATTAACCAGCAAAAATACGTTGATTAACAAATCTATTGCTGCTTTGTATCATTGAAAATGAATTTGTATCTTTAATAATTTTTATATTTTGTTCTTAAGTTTCAAAATATTTTCCTCTTTCACTTTATAATGTTTTAACTTTGTTGATATATCTTTATGGAAATGAACAACAAAAGACTGTCAATCAAGACATTCTTATTATTATATAATAATTAGAAGTTTTGTTTTTAATGTAAATGAGCCTATGATATGCAACCAAAGCCGCATTCTTTTTTATGTTACACATTTTATTTAATTTTCCTTGTGGATTTTTGTTTATGTTTCTTTAATCGCAAGTGATGGAAAGCAGAAAAGAAAAATCCTAGATGTAAACAGTTTGTATTGGTTTATGGAGCAAGCAATGTTGACAACATAATTGATAAAAGCAATTTTCCATATCATTTAATATCAATTTATAGATTACTTACTTTAACTTATTGATGGATAGCATTGGGTTGGTTAGAAATAACGTCAGTATGTAGGAGTGTGAAGTAAAAGCAAAAAAAAAGGAGATCAAGATGAAAGCTTTTGGTTTGTTTTGTATTTAGAAGATCGCAATAATTGTTTTATTATTCTAAAGTGACGTAATTTGTAACCCTCCCTCAAAACTCACACAAATTTTCAACCACACCCCCCAACACACTAATTGAATGTTCATTCCCTCTGTAACAAAAAATGTGGGAAAAACTTTCTTCTGCTCCTCTCATTAAATTTCCTTTATACAATTTTCATTTTGTTTATGCAACATAAAAAAGACCCAAAAGGTCATTAAAAGCAGTGGAAATTGTGTTATGCTAGTTCATTCAAAAAGATAATTAAAAAAAGAAAGAGAAACACCAACATGCTTAAAACAGCTTTCTAGATTAAAACTGAGAGATTATTAAATGTTTTTCATTGTAAGAAATCTGAAAATTTTACAACTAATAAAAGAAAACAATCAAAAGTAAATGTTGGGCAAGTGATATGTTCACCATTATGTTATTTTTTCTCCTCTTCTTCTTTCTGTAACAAAGCATCTGTTTCATCATCATGATTTCTACAGTTGTGACAATAGAATGTTCCTTAATCAAGCAAAAAAAAAAACCTGGGGAAGTCGGAAGTTTGTGAAAAGAGTTGGACTCAGAGTTTGAACGAAAATACTAAAAAAAAACTGTCGTAACGCCTCGAACACATGATGTTTAGAGAGCGTTGGAATGGATACCACCGTAAATTATCCATTCCGAAAGAAAAAAAAATGAAAGCACATCCTGTGGCCATTTTTTTCTATAATTTCCGCTTCCCCCGCATAATATGAGCAACGGAATAAAAGCTTTTTACCCAGTAATGGAATTTTATTTTTGTAGCAATTTTCGGTGTTCTTTTCCATTTGTACATTCAGCCGAGAGGAAATTTCAACCAATAATATAATGTAAAAGATGAAATTGGAGGGTGTGGGGACAGTATGCATTTATATTTTAATATATTCTATACAATATGTCTCTCTCTCTGCTGAATGCCCAAAAATTATTTAAAACTTTTCATGCAACGGCTGATGGGTGCTGATAATAAAGTTGAGCAGTAAATAATTTTTTTTTTGAAATGCATTTTTAATATATTTTCTCCCAGTTTTAGTTATGTTCAGAGACTATGTCATGTTGATTCTATTAGCGTCATGTTTTTCATAGTTTATGTGTAAAATGTAAAAGTTTGTGACATTTTCTCAGAACACTCTTAATTAACAGCAATACGAGCGCTTTCCGTGTGACATAAAATCTTTGATTTATGTCATTTGGAGAAATGCTTGAACAAATAACCATATTAAAAGTTCGAATTTAATTTTTTTTATCTCTAGCGCATGCTTTTTTTCTTTTTTTCTCTTTTTATGTTGGGTAAATGTGTAAAAATATCTGCAAACTCGCATTGGACTGGATTTTGTACATTTTTTTAATTATTTTGTGTACATAACTTGGTGGTATTGCCAAAAATAAATTGAATCTGCCATAAATTAAAACCACACCACAACACCATCTTGTAATTTATCACACGAAAATATAAAAAAATCAACCAACAATTTGATATTTAAAAAAAAATACAAAAAACTTTATGGACTTGGCCGTTTTGTTATCAAACATTTTGTGCTCGTGCTCGTGTTTTACTTTCTCTGTAATTTGATTAATTAATCGAAATGCTCAGTGAGAATGGAATTAATCTTGATAGTTCACATCAAAAAGATAACTTTTTAATTACCACCAGCCATTCAATTGATAATTTCAATAATAATAATAATTTGAACAATTTAAATTCATATGCAAAATCAACGACAATTACATCAACGAATGTTTCAACACCAAACCAATCGCCATCACCAACCGCACATTATCATCGGCAATCGCCCCCATCTTTGGAACATCAACTTCGTATTTTCATACCGAACTATGATGATTTATTGGACAATATCAGAGGCCAACAACCGCACTCGTCTAGAGCTGGTGGCTCAGGAATGTCGTCGGATCGAAGGAACATGATGGGTGATCGTAGAATGAACTCTTCAATGATGGATCGTCAGATGGTTAGTATCGTTTATTTAAATTGATGACGAAACTCACATATAATAACCAATATGAACACACTTCACAGAACCATTACGACTCTTCGTCATCGTCACATCGCAACAACGATATGATGGATAATCGTTCATCGGATGGACATAGAAATAATCGTGAAAGAATCAGTCCCCATTCAAGTAATTATCAGGACGGTAGTAATCAAGGAAATGGCCCCAATATGAAAACTGATAGTCCGTCGAGAAAACGTCGTCGTCTTCAAAGAATGCCGAGTCAATCGCCACCAACAATATGGGAAAATAACAACAACAATCAATTGATGAATCAAAATCAAAATCAATCAAATCAGAATAATTATCATCATCATCAAAATCGACGATTATCACCACGTCATTATCATAATAATGGACAACAAAATTCACCGCCAATTCGCCGACAACGATTTAGAGATCAACAGCAGCAGCAACAGCAGCAACAACAGCAGCAGCAATCACAACCACCACGTCCTTGGGACATGAACCCAACGACAATATTCCAACAGCCATCACCACCACACCATGCACATCCCCATCATCCTCATTCCCAACATTCATTGATGGTTGAGATGAATCATCAAGTTCCCGTTAGCTTACCGCTTAGCCATGAACAAATTTGGACCTACCCGGCGCCACATATTTCAATTTGTAAGAATCTGAATCGAGAAACGAAATGTAATTTTAACATGATTAATTGACTAATCCAAAGATTTTCATCTTTCAGCTCCCGCCGCTCCACATTTGCCGCCACAATGTCAAGTGCACAATGTTTATTCGCAGCCATTTGCTCAAGCCTGTAATCTGAATGGCCATCATTTCATGCAACCACATACTCAAATAACAGCGACACCACATCATCAGCCACATTTTCAGCATTTGGCGCAACAGGTGAGTCGTTTTGGGTTGATGTTGAACTTCATATGGAATTAAGATTTTGTTAATTTACTTAAACAGGGCGCCCATGGATTGCATATGGATGGAATTGATCATGTTACGCCATTAACACATTTCAATTCGACACAAATGGCACAAATTTCCCCACCGCAACCCATCTTTATTTCAACTGAAGGTCGACCAAACCAAATGGAACTTTTACATCGAACTGCTCGTCGAATAACAGCAGCAAGAAGAAACTTTACTCGCTTTCATTGGTCGCCAACACATGCGCCACCACATCCACATGCCAGACATCCAATACAAGCACAAATTCCACACCAAACTCCTTTGCCATTGCAAACAGCATCAGCTTATTCAGGAATTTTGTTAAATTTCTTGTAAAGTTTTTTTATTAATTTTTCTTTTCCCATCTTACTGATGATTAAAATGATTTTTCTACAGAGCCATGTTCCCATTATCACCATATGGACAACCCGAAACATATTCTCCAGATTCGAATGAAACTGAAAACTATGAAGCACTTTTGAGCTTAGCTGAGCGACTTGGAGAAGCGAAACCTCGCGGTTTAGGTCGATTAGAAATTGAGCAATTACCAAATTATAAATTCAATGCTGAAACGCACACTGGTAAGTCAACATTCACAGTCAGAGGTGATTAATAGGAAAATTAACTTCATTATGATTTTGATGATTCATTTAGGAGATCAAACTTCATGCGTGATTTGTATTTGCGACTTTGAGCCACGCCAAACATTACGCGTGTTGCCCTGTTCACACGAGTTTCACGCAAAATGTGTTGATAAATGGTTGCGGGTAAGTTCATCATTTCTCATTCTCTTTTGTTCATATTAAGACATTTATTTATATAAAATGTTATCAGAAAGTCATGGATGAGACTTCTTTCTCAGCGATTCAATTTTTTCTTTTTGTTTTCTATTCTGTTTTTTATCATTTGACATTTTTCTTCTCTCTTCTCTTATAGTCGAATCGAACATGTCCAATCTGTCGTGGCAATGCATCGGATTATTTTGAAAGTAGTAGCGAAGAGCAATAAACTTCATAATGTATAAAAAAAGTTCTGTTTCGTGAAACTATAAATGAGAAACATGAAACATGAATGACATACTTACATAGTTGCATGAAACACGCGAAATTGTCACAAGCCAGAAAATAGAAGTCGAGGAAGGAAGAAGAATCATGGAAACGGCCCGCACGCTGTCGTTGTCGTATACGTTTAATCAATTTTGATTGTTATATTAAAATAATTAATTCACAACTCACTCATACACACAAACAAACATAGGATAATACGCCCACAACTACAAACATACTCGCGAAGCTGTTACTGGCAGAACACGAGAAATGTTTAATTATAAAAAATTAATAACCTCATGATTACATCGCTCGAAAAAGCAAAAAATCCTTAAAAAAAAAGAAAAAGCTTTTCACTTACAGAACACCCGAATCGCGATAATCTTGATGGTGTCAGTTAAGTCCGAGGATTCATAAATGTTGGAAATAATTATTGCTGCTTTCTGAGTGACTTTTTTCCCTCAAGCATTTTTTTTATTTAATTTAAATTCGTAAAAAGCGAGTCGTGTTGCTATGGGATATTTGCTTCGCGAAATGTGGGCCTGCAAAAGTTTCTCGTTTTAATATGGTGTCATTTATTGCCCCTCCGAATGTTTCTAATAAATATTTAATAAATTTTGCTCCCATTTTCTTCGAATTCAGTTTTGATGTTTCCAAAAAAGAGAAAAATTTAATGAAATCGAAAATCTCCATGTTTTAGTGTCACAGAAGGTGAGTGACACGATAGAATATTGAAAATAAAAAGTAGAGCCACTTCAATTGCGTGATATTTTTCTACTTTATCTCTCGTTTCTTTTTTCTAAAATAAAAACTAAGTATGATGAAATGCACCAACCAATGAATGTGTTTTTGACGTGCGTGTATTAATAATAAACATTTTTACTTTCTGTGTTTATCGCCTCAAACTCCTCAAATCAGATGCAACTGATTATAACCAATGGCAGGCCAATAGAATTTGTTTTTTTTTTTGCTTTAATTACATACTTAAATAATATAAAATAAACAGATTAAGAATATCTACATAAACAATTGCATGGAGCCAATTAAAAAATAAAAATTAATTATAAATAATAGTTGTGGCACAGTAACACAAATATCAAAATAAGATTCCAAACTTTTATATTTAAGTTCTTTGAAAAACTAAAACAAAAGTCAGAAAGAAAAGCTTGAACCAAGAAAAATTAATTAAAGAAAATTAAAATAAATAACAAACAGTTAAGTCGTTAAGTGGAAAAATAAGCAATAATAAAAGAAAACTTTAGTGAAAAAAGAATGTTTGTCGCGTAATTAAGTTCTTTTCTCTGACTTCTAATCTAAAATAACATAAAATCATCATTTTCCACCATGATAAGTGTCTTCCAACCAACGACTTTTGTACTTTTCCGATACTATTGCGGACTTTTCTCGTAGTTTTCCAAAGCAACGAATAACTTGGAATTAGAATTGCATGAATTTTTCACAGTTGGAGAGTATTCTGGAAAATAAAAATTATCTTGAAAATTATTTAATTCGACGAATGGATATAAATAAATTTGAGAAAGATAGCTTGCATGTGACGTCGCATGCCATGATACTTACATACTCCATGTTGTATAATTGAACACATAATGTAAGAATATTTTCGCGGCTCATTTTCAACTTTCATTTAAAGCTTTCATCGAGTAGTAAAAAATAATTTTCAAAATAGAATTTCACGCTGTGAAAAATACAAAAAAAAGAGAATGAAACAGAAATTGTATTCACTCACCATTTCGATGTGCCATTAATTCACCACACGAGGAAAGTGCTTAGTTTTCCTCGACGTTTTAACGACAATGAAAAATGATTTTTCCTTTTTTTACGTAATTTTTTTTCTTTCTTATCGTGATTTTTTTCTTTCTTTTTCTCTTTATAATCATTATATCGTTTGTTGATGTTGGTGATGGGATAAGTTTATACGCTCTAAGTAAATAAATAATTGTTTCGACATAAGTAACTTTTCGAATTATGCTTAATGAATTCCAATTTTCTTTTAGAACGCATTTATATCAAATCAAGACGCTTTCTGTTAATCTTACTTGTTTATTAGTTAGCTTTTTTATGTAATTCTCACCTTATTGTGTCTTACTTTAAATGCAATATTCCTTAAGTTTTAATTTCATTGAGAATTTCTTTTACTTTCCGTATACTTTGATAGCTTTGGGTGAAAATGTGATTAAACTAATTACCATTTTTTTTAATGTTGTATCTACTTGTTTAAGTATCTTAAAATGTTATTAAAAGGACGAAGAAATTATCTTTAATCTGCTTTGAAAATAAAAACAAAAAGACGAAAGCAAATAAAGAAGTAAACAAAATTTGATTTTATTTCATTTTGTTTTTTATTTTTTAATATAAAATTCTGCTTTTTTCAACCTCCATTTTTTATTACTTTAGTTAATCATTTTCTTTTGCTTGTTCTTCACTTTAATAAAAGAAATATTTTCAAAGAATTGTATCATTTGAGTATCTACATATTTGAATAAGTGAGAGAAATAAGTTGATTATGATGAAAATTTAATCAGACAAGGAATCATACATAAAGTTACCAAATATCTGGAAGAAACATCGTCGACTTTGTGCTGAAATGCTTTTATTATTAATGATGATTTGTAAATTGAATAAACATATTTTTCGTGCTTTGATTTCTTGTTCGGCTTTGATTTTTAATGCATCAAAAGACAATATTTAAAGATAAATTAATTATGTATTATCTAACACTTAAGGCGATAAAAAAATTATCATGATCTCTAAAGCTTCTTACATTAAGTTTAATAACATTGATGTTGAGTTTTTTAATTGAAGTTTGTTTACAGTTTGAAATTTCTTTCTTTTGTTTCTCCTAACGCTTCTCACTCTTCCTACTGCAAAGAGACACAAAGACATGAGGAAAAGTGATAACTCCACAATTTATTTAATGATGAGCTTAAAATCTTGTTGAAGGAGGGAAAAATCGCTTTGGGTTTTTAAAATGTTTTTTTTTTTTGCATTAGCTACACACACAAATTAAATCAACAAAACATTTATTCGCATACATGATTCAAACCCTTTACGCAATGATAAATTTGAATATCAAAAAGTATTTTTCAGTGAATCACATCACACAAGTTAGCATTTGTTTCAAACAAGAACACATAAAAAGCGAAGAGTTAATAATATTTGCTTAAGGAAGTTCTACAACAACCGAAAGGTTTCGTGCATGAGCTTTCACATGTTGTAAACTTTTCCTTTTTTAACTTCATTCTCTTTGATGATAGCAAACAAATTTTAAGTGAATCAGTAAAGGCTTTTAATCTATTAAAGTTTTGAAAAATGATGGTGAAAGTCTTTCAAGGTCTTTAAAATATTTGCACTCATGAGGGAAAAGTTTTCATTTCATCATTCAAGAAAAGATAGATGAAATGGTTGTGGGAAGGAAAAAAATGTTTTTCTATACTTAGCATAGATTTCCTATTTTTCTTCTCCTTCTTCATAACACAACAATAAAACCAATTTCGAAGATTAAAGGAACGAAACCTTGAATTATCTCTCTTGTCGACGATCAACAACGTTCATAGATACTCCGGAGTAACTCCTACTATGCTGTTTGCATTTATCACCATTTGTTTATCGTGCATGTAATACGAGATTGTGCAATTTTGATGATGCTTGTAAATAAATACAATATCTAAACATTTTATGGCGTCAGGGAACAATATTCGATTGTATAATTTTCTGACTCAAACTTTCTGAACAAAGACTGAGAAATTAAATTTTCGCATTGTCTAACATGAGTCATAACATTCGACTACATCTACACTTTTGCTTTTCTCATCGCTTCGACTATAAAAATTTAATTTTTTATTTTCTTAAACTGCAAACTTCTCGTTGTTGAGATTGCATTTGAAATTTTCATGAGAAGTCATTTCTCGGTGATAGTTTTATTATGCATTAGTTGTATTTAAATTTGTTTCAATAAATGTTCACAAAAGCAGAGATGCACTCAAGATAGTTCAAATAAGATTAGACGGAAAATTTAATAAATGTTTACTGGAACATTTCCATATTCAATTAAATCATTATTTCCCCCAGATTTCTTGTTAGATCCTCAAAACTTGTCGTCTTTAGTTCATAAATATGAATTCAAAAGGAGAATTTGATGATTATTAAAAGAAGCTTTTTCTGTTTGATATGTCAAGAAATAAAATTGTTATTTGAATAGTTTAAAATTTAATATTTGATGCTATGCTACTAACATATTCTCACAGTCCGTAGTGAGTCAGAGTTTTGATTGATTAATGTTTAGAGAGTTT